GATCTGAATACAAGAGTGTTAGGAGGTGGGGAGTGAAGGTGATTCTTTCATTCCTGGTTTCTACCGCCTAGTAGGCCATGATTCCACCTTCACTCTGTTCACCAGCCCCAAGTTAGTCCTCCTCTGTGCGCTGTCCATAAGGCTTGTCATCCGCAGGCTTAACACTGTGCGCCCTTGAGGTTCTACGGCGGGGGACCCAGAAGAGGCACCTCCTCTAATGACCACCAGGTGGCGAGCAAGCCTCAGGAGAAGCTGTAAGGCCGTTGCGGAGGAGCCTGGGCGCTGGACCACAGCTGTCACTCATTAGGCCAGCTGGCGACACTGTCAGGACAGCTTTGACTAGGACGGCCGAGAGAGCTCCTCCGGGCATGGGAACCTCTCACAGTTCCAGAAAAGCAGTAGATGGTACGATTTTCCTCAGTTAATCAGAATAAAACCTTTCTTTCCACCACTGCTGGCGGGGGGACATGGGGCTGTTTGGCAGGATGGAGGACAGAGGAGGGTACCAATCACAATTGGTACCAAAAGAGGCAGGGCCTCAAATCGTTCTTGGACTGTCTTGTTGAACGCCGGAGGCGGGCTGGAAAATAGCAATCTTCCCATGACTTGCCCAACCAGTTCCCATTGCTTTTCATCCTGAGAAAAAGCCTTTTTTCTGGGCTCCTGGGTTTGTTCTGTTTAGTTTTTAACAGTCACCACTTAACTTCAGCACACTTGGCTCTGTATTAAAGCGTAAAACCCTGGAGTGCGAATGGGCTCACACATCTGCTGCCCAGGGCCCATTTGTGCAGAGGGACACTCGTGACCTTCCAACTCTTCATCACAAAGTTGAAAGGTAAAAGGGAAAGAATGGATGGCTATAAAGTTGCTTAAAAACTAGACAAGATGACAGTGACAGATACAGTACTGTATCTAAATCGTAGGAGACCCTGCGCACCCCACAAAGGAAAATGGGATTGGGAGATAAACAACAGGGCGGGGGTAGCGTGGGCTTCAGGAATTGTGCCCATCTTTCCTCCTTCTTCTGTCTGCTCCATATTCGCTGAGAGTAGAAAACTTACAACACTGGTTTCCTCTCTAGAATGTGCTAGAGGATAAACTTAGATATCCATCAATACAGGACATAAGGAAAGATGCGGGAGGGTAGCACCCTAATCTTTTGAGGAGGGTAAATGGAAGGGATTAGGTGCTCCCTAATTCCTAATTAACTAATTACTAATTAACTAACTAACCTAATTAACCGCTGCCCACTCCTTCAGGACTCCTGATGGGAACAGAGGTAAGGGCTGGCTACATACTCCAGGCCTGGCCCAGGGGGCCAATTCCACTCTCTTATTTTGGCCCACTGCTGGGCCTCTGCAGAGATGAGGGGTAATTTGAGAGAAGCCTCCAGAGAGGCAGGGTGGTGTCTGAATGATGCTGCTGCTGGCTGCCCCCGGGAGGAAGGGGCTCAGGGAAGTCTGCCGCGTGGACCCATTTGATGCTGGGAAGGCATTACTCAGAGTAGGCCTCCCCTGGGAACCCATTAATCACAATTGTGAAGCTTTCCCACTTTCCCAGACTTTCCTCCTCAGGGACCATCTGGTCTCCAGGCCTGAGCTGGAGGAGCCCTGAAGTGGTTGCAGCCAGAAATTGATCGGCAGGGGCTTCCCACCCTCCGAGGGGCTCTGAGGCACCGGGGGTTGTGAGACCCGCCTGGGCCTCTGATGGTCTTCCCTGTACCATTGGGTAACAGGGGTCCAATACGTGCCCACTTGGCTGTGTGCTGGGGGCTTAGTCATGCCCAGTGACTCAGCATTCAAGGCAAGGGAGAGGGCCTGGACTCTCTGGGACTCACGGGGTCAGCGTGAAGGCACGTCCTGGGGCATCATTGTTAAAACTCAGCCCATCTGCACTTGTACTTTGGGGCCTTGTAAGGAAAATCATCTTGTCACATACAGGATTAGCTTGAAGGAAATCTTCAAAGTCAATAATTTTTTTTAGGACTACCTCACTCCCTCATGGCTACCTGACGAACGGACTGTGTCCGTGCTTCCTCATTCAGTGCCTTTCTCCTGACCCCCCAGACGCCCAGGGCTTAGAATGCCCCTGGAATTCATTAGGGTCACCGGGGCTTACTGCTGGCTCCCCATAGCCATGGTCAGTCCCCATTTGCCCCCGGTCAGTCCTTCTCTGCTTTTAAAAGAGATATGGAAATAATCCTTTATTTGTGTATACTTAATAGTTTACCAAACATGCTCATATAAAGCATGCTTTTAGCACCAGACAACAGCCTTGAGAGGTAATTAAGATAAACCCCATTTTTCAGATGAGCAAACTAAGGACCAGAGAGGTTTGGTGAAGGGCCCAGGTGAGCGAGGTAAGGTGTCCTTTTGTTCCAGGAACCCTGTTCTTTTGGCCACGCCACACCAATGAGGCAGAAGCCTCATCCTCCAAGAAAGAAGGCTGATGGGGATCCCCAGGCACTTCCTCCTTCTGGGAGAAGATGGGAAGCCATGATTTTCTGTGGCGAATGCCTTGTGCTTGTCAGCAATCTCCGAGGGGAGTTTGTAACAGTGTGGCTTTCAGGCCAGCCTGGAGGGGCAGGGGTTACAAGGAAAAGAGGTAACGGAGGCTTACGGATTTCCACCCCCACCCCCCTCCCCAGCCCATGTGCAGAGCCTCTGCATAGACCAGCCCGGATGACATAGTACAGGTCTTGTTTTAATTTTATTTTCCTACGCTGCTGTCAGCGTGCAGAAGGCAGCAGAAGAAAGGAGCAGAAAGCGTTTGTCTCTGGTTTTGCTCTAAAGCTGGGTTGTCCGATGCAGTAGCCTCAAGGTACGTGTGGCTACTGGGCACTTCAGATGTGGCTGTGGCAACTGAAGTGTGCTGCAAGTGTAAGGTACACACTGGGCTTTGAACACTCAGTACAAAAAAAAATGTAGAGTATCTCATTAATAAGTGTCCATTAATCACATCTTAAGATGATAATATTTGGGGCATATTGGGTTAACTAAAATGTATTATTGAAATTAATTTTCCCTACCTACTTTTCCAAATGTGGCTACCAAAAAATTTAAAATACACGTGACTCACATTACATTCCTATTGGACATTGCAGCTCCCTAGGCATTAGGAATAGTTTCAAGACAGCTGCATTTACTTTCACACAAAGTGTTCACAGAAGCCTGCTTTTCTTCCTGTTTATATGAAGCAAGTAAACTTCATAAAGCATGGGGAAAAATGTCTTCAAGATACAAAAATAAACATCTTCCTTCTAAATGATGTATACCTTATCTTACAAAGAAAAGAAAATCAACCCAAATGAGCAGAAAACTCTAGACAAGCTTCTGGGATCCAAGCAAGCATATGGTGGCAGAAGTCTAACCCTGTAAGAGATTCGTAAGAGATCCGTGGTCTACTGAGGTGTGGAAACTCCCCAGTCCCAGGCATGGAGCGCAGGCTGCAGGCAGCAGCGTTTCCTGGAGGGGATTGAAGGATGGGAAGCGCCCAGCGCGAGACTTTATTTGTAAGGACCGGGAGGTCAGATACAAGAGCCCGAGGCCTGACTGGCACCATGAGCTTAGGCCTCTGATCTGTTGGCCTAAACGTCAAGGGTGCGTCGGCTCCCGGGCTCACTCTACCTGGCACAGCAGACACACACGGCGCTGGGGATGGTTGCGGCTCCGGGCCTCTCTCATCCGGATAAATGGAGCTTTTCCAAACAGCACCCTTTCCCTGAACTTCCGCACAGCCGATGCCATCCCCTTGGGTAGGTGACTCCTCTCCCATTTGCATATTCAGTAGACAGAACAACGCTGTGACATTTGCAGCACACGAGCTTCCTTACTGACTCTGCCAGAGACACCCTTCTAAGCACGAGTAGCGTTCTGGATAAAGCAATGTTTACAGGTCACACATCCTATCTAATTCCTCACACAGACTCTGCAGAGCAGTGCTGGGTCCGTAACTTTGTTTCTTTAAACAATCTGCTGAACTATCTTGTGTAATCCTCTCCCCTTGACTGTGGGCAGGCCCTGTGAACATGATGACTTGTCACTCCCGTGAGTAGATTCCATTATATGGCAAAGGTGAGGGGATTTTGCTGATGTCATTAAGGTCCTTAATTGCCTGACTTTGAGTTAATCACCAGGGAGATTATCCTGGGTGAGCCTGACCTAATCAGGTGGGTCCTTTAAGAGAGGGTCTAGTGGTCAGAGACTGAAGAAGTTAAAGAGATTCAAAGCAGCCCGGACACTCTCCTGTCAGGTTTAAGGGAGCAAACTGCCATGTTGTGGAGACGGCCACAGGGCAGAGGCTGGCAGGATGAGGGCTCAGTTCTATAACTACAGAGAATGGAGTTCTGCCAAACAACCAAAGCTGGGAGGAGGACCCCAGCCTTCAGAGGGGACCACAGCCCTGGCCAACTCGAGTCCAACCTGGTGAGAGCCTCAGCAGAGAACCCCGTTAAGCCATGCCCAGACTTCCGACCTACAGAAATTGTGCGATAACCAACGGGTGGGTGTTGTTTTCGGCTTCTCAGTTTGTGGCAATATGTTACACAGCAATAGAAAATGAATACAGGAAAAACAGCACCATGTGGCAGAAACATCTATCGCTAACAGAACTCCTGGGGCTCTGCTTTCAGCTGTGCATGAAAATGCCAACCAAGCCACACACAGACATTAGGACAGACATTTGTTTATTTGTTTCCCAGAGAGTTAGGTCCAAAAGCTTTACTTCAAAGACCCCTATTTAAACCCTCTGTAAGCTCCTGGGCTCCACACGCTGAGAGGGAGTGTAGACGGTGTGAGGAAGGACAGCAGCTCGGTCAGCCCCCTGAGCTCAGCTGCAGTGAGCTTCTGGCACTGGCCCCACCCCCGCCATGCCAGGAAAATGGAAGGGATGGTTCACTGTCTGGAGAATGGAGTTAAATTCTGGTTGACATGAGGAAGCCCGAAAGAGCAACAGTAGCATATTGCAAAAGAGCAGACAATTTAAATAAAGAAAGCTTCGGAGATCTTGTGAGATATTTTATTGTGACAAGCATGAAAGGAAACATAGCTGCACGCTGGCGTACTATTAAGACACGATTTAAAATCCCAAGTCATAATGTTAGGAACCTATAGCACCTAATTTCAAGGCTAACATCTTTGAAATGATGAGACACTGTTTTCACGGACTTTAAAAAGAAAAACATGAGAAAGATACATCCCCTGGAAGCCCCTTCGTTTATTTTGGATACTCAGGGAATTAGGATTCTGTTGGCCCGGGTCACTGACTTTCTCTTTGGAATGCAGAAGCCCCATTTGACATCACTGCTACAGGCCACAAATAAAATGTGTTTCACCTACATGGCACTTCTAGGACCACATTCATTCCTTTTTGTCTTCTGAAATGGTTGTGACTTTCTATTCCACTCACCTCACAATAACTCCCTCCCTCACTTCTGCCCATGCTGGGTGCTACCATCTTTCTCATCTCCGTGTAACGTCTTTTCAACCTTCCAACACGGATCTCTGAAGTTCTCTACATAAGCCACAGGAGGCTATGACTTCCCACAGTGTTTCTTAATTTCTGACCTTAGCAATCTACATCCTGAAGACGCCATAGACCTTTATTTACCTCTTTCTCCATATAAACAAGAAGAAATGGGGAGGAGGATGGCAGACACATGATTCATTCAAGAGATGATGTGTGACACTGGACTTCGAACATTCCCAGAGAATATTTCTGTAGTTTATATTAATCGTTCATTTCTGAACCTCAAGAGCAACCTCACAACCTCTGAAGCATGAGCGCAGATCCCTCTGCAAGAAACTGACTTAATAGAAGGTGCCTTAATGCAGGAAAGTTCTGGCCCATGGAACCAACTGGACACACTGAGAGGGGTTAGGACCGTGGGGAAGCACTGGACGTTTCACGAGCAAAGTAGACCACACATCTCACTTTGGGCCGACATCAGAGCCAATGTTCCTCCTTCCTCCTTATTCCCCCAGAAATCTGTTACTAAAAGCCTTGTAACCATTGCTGATCGAGACCTAGTGACCTCAGGGTCAAGCGGGGCTCCGCTTGCGTATACTTTACAGATTCATGGACTGCTGCCTTTTACAATTCTGCATTCTACTGCTCATTTTAGGATATTCTTGGTAAAGAACAGTGGTTGAACTATCTAGCTTGCAGTCGGGTAGAAAACCAGCAAGTATTTCTCTAATTTTTTGTTTCCATAGCTTTTCTGGAATTTGGATCCAGTGCTGTGGCTTGAAAGTGGGAGGTATATGCATGCCTGTGTGTGTGTGTGAGTGTGTGAGTGTATGTGTGTGTGTGTGTGTGTGTGCGCTGGGGTCAGCGAACGTGCTTCAGTTAGTGCATGTGGGCAGAGGGCCAGACCCACATCCTATGGAAGGGCGCCCAAGGATCCTGCCATTATGGTGGTTCCATCCACATCAGACACTGTGATTCCCAAGGGATCCCTACAGAAGTGGGTGGAAGTTCAGCGTTTCTTGTCCCACCGTATTTTTAAACTCCTGCCAAGCGCTGTGCTTTCCTTGGCTGATCATGTCAAGATGGCCATGCTGACACTGGCTATCACCCCCCCTCAGTTCTCGCTGGTACAACCCCAGGGACCAAATCAGTCAAAGCCATTCTTTCTCTAATATCTCCTTCTAATTCAACTCATCCTCCAACCTAACCTCTGCCTCTGTCTTCTCAGTAGTGCACTCTGCCCAAAGTTGATCATGCCCTGGAGGATTTCAGAGCCTAACAGTCATTTCCTTTGGGGACTTTAACAAGTATTCAGTTGGGAGAGCAATGTGACAATTTTCAGACGAACGTAGGAGTAGATGTCTACGTCATCTGTGAAGACGTAGAAATAAGAGTCCATTTACGTTAAACGTTATTAGAACTTCTGTCTGTCCCACCTCCCCATTCCCATGAAGAAAAGAGAGGAAGAGATTTTAATGAGTTAAAATGTTAAAAGAAAACTCTTTCGAGCCTCAGTAAATAAATGGTTTCTGAATCTCAGCCTCTTTTCTCTTGCCTTCCCGATGGCGGGACCCATTTATGTTCTCAGTCCTTATGGAGACCACACAGCGGGCATTTCCCTAGCAGTCCCGCATTTTCGTTCTGTCTTATTGTCCCCTTGGGATCAGACTTTTGTGTGGTTGCCGTGGCGACAACATATGGTTAACTTCAATATGGATGCAATTTTAATAAATATTTGTGTTTTTCTGAAATGCACACACACACACAAAACACACACACACAGAAGTCACAAATAGTCAAATTCTTGGGAAAAGCTCCACTTTCTGTTCATCAAGGTAAAGAGTCATTAGGAGCATGGACTAACCAGCTGTAAAACTACTTCCCATAAGATTTCTAAATGGTTGCAACAAACACAAATCAGACTGTACAAAATTCTTAATGGATATTAGTTGGTCTGGGAGTTTAGAAAATGAAGGAGCTAATACACAGAGAGCTACACACCAAGGCCACTACATCCACAGTAACAACAACAATAACAATATACAATGCTATAAGACTATTAGAATCTATTCTCTACTGCACAGAGAAGTACCTGGTTAAAGCTGTTAAATATAATACATGGCAGTTGGAGTCTGTTTTCAGTGCAATATATCACATTTGGCAATTAGTGGATATAAAAAAATATATTTTTTGCTTTCAAAATGTGGAATAATCCAAAACATAAGGCTTTTCTGATAAACTATAAAAATGTAATCCATACATCTGCTGGATCTGACAAAACATGGTTATTCCACTTTCTCTGCATATTCAATCCACTTAGCTCAAAGCTTAACATACAAAGGCACAGATGTGTGTGTTTAGCATCAGGAGAATTGCGCCTCTTTCCACGAATTTCTTATAAATATTATTATCCACTCGAAAGCATTCTGATGAAAGCATCCTGTAATTTCCTCCTTGGTTCTCCCACTGCCCTTTTTTTCTCGCTCAGCTAAGAAAACACCAGGAAGATATTGAAATTTCCCTGTGGTTTACTTTCAGTTTCCATTTTTGAGCCATTTTTTAATTCTGTGTTGCAGTATCTGAGTAATTGTATTAGATAATTAATATGGAAATCTTAAAATGTGGTCCTTAATGTTGTTTTTCTCTGTTTTTTTCTTCCTGTTTCTCTTCTTCCTTCCTCTCCTCCTTCCTCGCTTCCTTCCTTCCTTCCCAGAATTCACTGAAGTATTTCCTAGGTACTAGCTTTTAACTTATTATTTTAATCAAAGCTTATCTTTGTGCCCAACATGTGAAAAGTGAAAATGTCTCTTCGAAATTCTGTTTTACAACATAGACAGAGAAGCTGGGCCTTGAGGAGCTTGATCTCACTTAAATACTATACACAGTTGGTATCACACAAGGGGTCAGGGGTGGGGCAGCACAATAAATGTAACAATTTACTTTCAATCTGTCTTTACAAAAGAAAGCCTCTTCCCTAATGGAAAAGTCTCTTCAGCGTCTGCTCCCAGAATCCTGTGGAGGAAACATTTTACCGATGGCTTGAAAGGATCTCTTTTTCAGAGCACATTCACGGTTCCTCAAGAGGTCACCTGGGTTGAATTTTCCCGTTCTTAGTTGAGCAACGAATAAGCACTGGACGTGTTTTCCACGGATGAGCTGGTTGTTTCTGGGGTGGACACATCGTATGTTCCTGAAAAACAGAGCTGCAGCTCAGCCTAAAAGATAAGCCTTCAGGTTGGGCTGTGAACTTCTCCTAAGGGCCCAGGGGGCGCTCTATCCAGGAGCCAGGAAGCTCAGCCATGCCTGGAAACAAACTCATGCCTACCCTCCTCCCAAGACCCAGCAGTGCCAAAGAACAGAGCTGTTGTTCTCACGCATGCGTGGCAGCCGACAAGACAAGCACTAACTACTTCCCGTCATACCAGCAGCCAGATTTCTACACAGGACAGGGAGATCTCAATGTGGGTGCCTCTCCACATGCCATCACATGCATGGGCCTGGGGACATCTGCCTGAGGGAACCTCTCTGGTCCACTTGGGTTGGGGTGCCTTGGGGAAGCTCTTGGGAGGGGCCTGGAGGCTGAGCTGGAAGGCGAGATGGGGAAGCAGGAAAGGGAAGAAAAGAGAAATTTACAGGGGAAAGAAAGGCAGGACCAGAAGAGAAGCAGGAGTCAGGGGATACCAAGAAAAGTGCCGACAGGGAGGGCAGCAGGGAGCAACCAGGCAGGCTCGTGTCAGTGGGTTGAGCACAAGGACTGTCGGGAGTGTGTGGGCGGGAAGGGACAGTGCCCACCCTACCATCAGACTGTTGAAGTGCCACCGCTAACAAGGTTTCCATCATTGCCTGGGGGGCCCTTTGGGGCTGCTGACAACATAAATCAAAGTCACAGTGATTATGGAACCCTCAAATAGGCCAATGTGGAGCTGCATTAATGACCCTGAGAGGCTATCGAGTGGTAATGACCAGGAATTTCAGGCCCTGGGACCCTGGGGACAGAGCTCCAACTCCAACTTCTATCTGACTGATTCAGAAACAGGGAACTCATTTTATTGGCCTTACATATTGCATAATTCCGATTCTGTAGAATTGTTTCATAGAGTCTTCACTATTTTCACTTTAATGCAAATGGTAAACACTTCCAGAGACAGTGCTGGCCAAAGGCGAGAGTTCTAATACACCCTGAAGGTTTGACCATTTCACAACAAGTCCAGTCAGTGACTTTCAAAATCAAAAGTGAAGGTCCTCCAGTTTCATGAGTAACACATCAAATTGAAGCCAAAAACATGAAGTCCTCTGGAATTTTAACAATTAATAAACATTCTCAAAACTGGCTTTTATATGAGAAGACTTAGTCTAGAATATTGACACATTTCTAGACTCTGCATTTGTGATATCTGCTCAGTCTCAAGAAGCTGGAAGGAATTCTCGCGCCTATTTTCCTGGGCGGGGGGTGGGGGGGGCAGTAGGGACATGGCACAGGGGTTTCAACTTGCCAGAGTAGCTGAGACCCATTGCCCAAAGACATTAACGTTATTTATTTTATACCCCCAAGGTGGACATTTTAACTGTGTATGTTCCTAATAGAATAGCTAACTTGGGTGATCCCTCATATATGTGTGCACAGTTTTATAAACGTCAAAGTGTAAAATAAGCACACTCCAAAAAAAAAAAAAGGAAAAAGAAACCCACAGCACGAGATCCTATAGTAGGATTTTCTAAATATAGTCTTTGCTGCACTGTAACCCAGAAACATGACCTACCTATTCTTATTTAACATGATAGAAAAGAATTTTATGTTTGACTATTGGCAGTTCCCATTTTCATGGTTGAGCCAGTTTTGACAGACAGCTCCTCCAAAGTCTTGTCTAGATACTCCAAATCTTATTGTTCATAAGATACGATTAGTTGTCCACTGAAGGCAGTTGCCCTCTGTACCAGCTTCCTGGTGGTTAGGGAAAATATTAGCAGTTTCCTATATGTAACCTCTGCCCCAAAGGAAGCCATTGCAGCTAAATGCACTGCAGCCACGAAGTGAGACTCCCCATCAGGGCAAATTTGTCCGGGTCAACCAGGATCCTAGGGAGCATCTAGGGCCACTACATACCTGTTTTACCAAACAAATTGTTAAATCTTCTGGATATTGGAGAACTCATAGAAAACACAGGTGTAGATGAACCTAGGGATGTTGACTAGAAAAGAGAAAAAAAAGACAATCACAAAGCCCGTATGTTAGACCAAGGCCTTTCCCTCTAGGAAGGTTAGTTTTCCGCCCTCTGGTGGTCACTGCCTGCATCTCCCATCCCATTTCCTAATGGTAGGAGCCTGGATGAACGTCAATTTCTACTTCAAGCAAATCAACCACCTTGAAACATTGGAATCTCATCGTCAGTCTTAGGAAAATAACTTTTGAATGCATGTTTACTGTGTGCTAGGGCTCTCGTATCTTCTGACATGTGGAAACAGCCAAATATAATCGACTGCAGTAGTTATTTTCCAAAATGAACTGCAGAAAATTCTATTTATCATTATTCCTCAAATTGTGCTATTGCCTGGAGTTTCCCCAGAAGATTGTTTTCTTCTCATTGAAATTTGATTTTAACCTCCAGTCGAGATTATCTGTGCTATTTGACCCATATTTAAAGATGTGGGACCGCTTTAACGATAGCTCCATGGCTGTGTTTAACAGGCAGAACGAAGTGAGAAGCAAAAACAGTGAAATAATCTATGCTAAAACTAGTTGTGGAGAGAGAGGGGGATTTGGAAAAGTATCCACAAAGGAAAGACTTACCTTTGAAAGCTGTGATGACCATCTCGACAGGGAAAACTTATTCAGCAAGGCTTCCTGTACCTGCATTGTTCAAAAGAAGCCACGGTCAATTCAACACACCACAAGCACTTTAGACTCTTCTAGAAGCATGAAACTGTCATTGTTCTTACCTTCTGATCCCAGAGGCACCCAAAGAGTAAAATGAATAATCCCTGAAAAGGATTGGGAAGAATCCATTTTAATCATATTTTTATCATCCGGCAAAACAGGAAGCATTATTAACCTGGCTTTGAATTTACACTACCTCTTCTCACATTGGAGTTTATGGAATGAGTCCAGTAGAGGATAATGTTAAAAGGAAGCAGTAGGTCCACAACAAGGGACCTTAAATGTTAAAATGTTATAAGGATATTTTCTATTTCCCTATTTCCCCCCGACTGTGAACTCAAGGTACTGCTGATTATGCTATTAAATACATCTCTTATGTCTACAGTAGCCCTCACATAGTTGTGATGAGGACTTGGGCATGGGGTGGAATAACCAGTCCCTTCTAGTCAAGACATATTATAAATGTCATTAGACACGAGTCTTATAGTTTGGAGCTATAGGACCAGTAGCACCAAGTTAGGATTTGCATGGTTTGGACATGAGCATCCAAGGAGCAATGTCTCAACTTCACTTCCAGGTCCCCTGCCTCCTCACGAGCTCCTGGGGGCCTATGCTTACCATCCCTCCTCCAGGTGAATCAGAATTAAGCATTCCCTTCCTTAATTAATTGTGTTCCAAAGACTTCTTGTCTTTACCTCTGCTAAAGCCCTTTCAACAATTTGGCTTGTATCATAATGAGTTATGTGCTACAGGAGAGGAAGAAAGGTGTCTTTTTCATTTTAGCATAAGGGGGCACAATGTCTACCTTGCATAGAACATACAGTCTTTCACTATTCAGCAAATATTTCCAGAGAACACACCATGTGGCATATAGCATTCATTTCATTGACTGGATGGTTACTAAGCACCTACTCTGTCTTTTTAGGTACCAAAGATATAGTGATAGATAGGACAGATGCTACCCCTGACCTCACAAAGACAGAGCTCATTGAACACTTGTGGAAATTAACTGGAAAGATTACTTGGTTTAATAGTGGCATTTTCATTTAGGAGAAAATAGATGGCATTAAGATAATGTTGGATAAATATCAAAATCTGGTGTAGGGAAGGGACTTTCCTCCTTATTGTATATTCAAGGCATTTAGAAGAGAGTCATGTGTGCAACTAAATTAAAATGCAGGCAATAAGAGGCGTGAGCTTCCATAGGAACAGAGGAATGTGTCCTTTCTATTTCACTGAGTTCTTGTAATTACCACTCTTTAGGCCTCGGGCTTCCTCTGGACTAAAATCCTTCCCCATTCCTACTCCTGTTTGTGTTTCTATCATTAATTAGATTAATTAGTCCCACCAGCCTAGATACTTCCTGAGAACGCTGCCCTGCAGAACTTACCTGGAAAGCGTTGAGGAGGGTAAATACAATATGGAACACAGCATTGCTCCCCGGGAACACAGTGGCGAGACCAAACCCCCAGGTGAGCCCCAAGAGTGGTGTGAGGACCCCAATGCTCTTGCTGATCTGAAAGAGGCTACTCTTCTCCTGCTTGCTTGGCTTGTCTCCAATAGAAGGTCTCAGGATCTTAGTGATGACCACTACCGTGATGGTCACGTTCACCACCACAATGATTAGTGCCGGGATGATAAAGGCCAGCAGGGCCTTGGTATCCTCCCAATTGAGCCAACAGGCGTTCTTCCTCGTGTAGACTTCCTGTGGCTGGGTGGCCCCCACCGTGATGACTGAGATGACAAGAGGGCAGCCATAGCCAAGAGAAAAGGCAATAGCCTTCTGAGTGGACCTGCTTGTGTCATGCAGGATGAAAACCAGGCGGTAGAAGAGCATGAGACCCAGAGTCAGCATCCAGAAAAAGACACTGAGGTAGAAGAAATGGATGAAGAAGGTGGTGGCCACACAGGCCGTCTCATTGAGTATGTAGTGATGGTCATCGATGGCGGCGGCCACAATGAACCAGATGTCGGCAACCAGAAGGGAAGCAGCAATGTTCACAATGCAGGTGTGACGCATATAGGAAGTCCGATTCTTGGTCACTGATTTCCACACCACGGCTTCCACAACCAGACAGGCTGCTAAGCTCAAGATGGAGAAGCACAACCCAATGTAGGAAATGATATCCAGTAGTATTTTCAGGAGAGAACCAGGGTCTGGGGAGTCAGGGGACATGAGGATGGAGAATGATGTTAGGTGGTCACAGCTGCAGGAGACGCTGTCCTCATTGACTTCTTTGACATAGCACCCACTGTTGTCCCACCCCCCGGTATGGTTGGCAAGGTTGAAGTTCCAGAAGACACACTGTGGTAGCCCGCCTAAAGGGTTGTTGTTCTTAAAAGTCATTGAAATACTGAACGGCATGGTTATATTGTGGGTGACAGTGGTCGTCATCACTAAGCTGTTTGTAAAATTCTCACCCTGAACCTCCTGGGCAATAATGGTTTTGAGAGTTGGGAAAGCCACGGTGACAATAGATGAATCCGTTTGCAGGTTTTCCAGCTGGAAATTGTCAATGGCCACATTGCCCCAGAGGTCAGAGTCTGCGAAAACAAAGCTCTGTTTGTAGGATTTTGGGTGGCCAGATCTTATTACCATGCCCTTCATCTGTACATTAGTTTGAGAGATGCACAAAGAGGTGCCATCTTCTGACTGTAGTGCTCGGGAAAATCTTTCCACTGAGTCCAGTAGCTGTGAGCTCTGATTGGTCTGTTGCTGTTGTAACACCTTCCAGGTACTCAAGATGGGCTTGTCCAGGATGACATTAACCGTAGAGAGAACGTGCTGTAATTGACATGGCATGTGATCAAACCAACCAAATTCTTTCAATCATAAAAGAGAAAAAATAAATAACATCTCCCTGGAAACTGGTTACTTGGGTACAGGTCAGAGGAAAAGAAGAGAAAAATGAGGTATCACAGGCTGTGAGGATCTGTGACCTGCCTTCTTATGGCAGGGAGTCAGCAGAGAAGGGGTCCACAAGACGGTGAGACTTTGATAAACATTTAGCAATAGAGACAGTGAGAACCGCCCCACCGCCCCCGGCACTGGCTAATGCCAATTCAGCAGGCTGGCAGAGATATTTATTAATTGTTTTATTTTATTTTAAATCTCAAGCCTGTAAAGGCTTTTTGGTGGGTGGTATTTCACCAGCATGAGTGAGGCAGTCTCAGAAGACCCTCTAAATGCTGAGCACCAAATTAGCAACACAAGGGTTGTTAAAGGCGTCTTTCTTTTATGCTAAACATTTTGCTTCTCTCTCCCATAAACTTGGGCTTGTCATTTCCCTTCTCTCAATATATTTTCTCTGTTCTTCTTCATCTTGTTCTGTTCTCTGAAACTATAAGCCCTATAGTTAGTTGAATGGTGGCTCCCCAAACAAGATGTCCTCAAGTCCAGACCCTGTGAATGTGAACTTATTTGGAGAAAAGGTCTTTGTAGATGTAGTTAAGTTAAGGATCTTGAGGAGAAATCATCCTGGATTACTTAGGTGGGCCCTAAATCCAATGAAAATTATCCTTATAAGAGACAGAAGAGAAGAAGATAACTGGAGAAGAGGAGAAGGCCACGTGAAGACAATGTCGGAGATTGATCTGAGGCAGCCACAAGCCAAAGAATGCCTGGAGCCAGCAGAAGCTGGAAGAGGTAAGAAAACATTCTCCCGTAGAGCCTCCAGCAGGAACGTGGCCCGCAGACTCTGATTTTAGACATCTAGCCTCCAGAACTGTGAAAGGATAAGTTTCTGTCATTGTAAGCCATCCACTCTGCGGCAACTTGTTACAGCAGCCCTAGGAAACTTACATAACCTCCCTGGACTCTTCCTATCCATGCTGCTTGGCAGTTGGCCTCTGGTTGGGTTTGGCCAATGGGAAGCAGTGGCAGGAGATGGGAGGGTGGGAGAAGAAAGACGATGAAATATATTTTTCCTACCATCCCCTGCACCCCCATCCCCACTCTCCTCAGCACATCTTTGGCAATAGCTGTGTCTGTCCTTCCAAGACTGCAGCTCCAGCTGAGCAACCCCTCCTCCAAGGCTTCAGCTCTCACTGGGCTGTGAGTGAACTATTTCTTTTCCTTTCCCCTTTAGTCCTTGGGATAGCAATGGCTCCTAAATGTTGCTGGTTTCTGGATGCCTCACCACCTTTTTTTTTAACCCTAGCTTTACTTCTGTAAATATCCCTTCATTAAAGTCTCTTCATCTGAATTCATGTGGGTGAATTCCTTTTCCTCCCAGAATCCTGATTGCTTCAAAGTACAGGTGTAATGCTAGACCATGGAGAATCTTACCTTGTACCTATTCTGAACACCTTTAATTCCTAGTTTTCCTAGAAAGCAGATAAGAATTCATGCTATTTTAAGGAAGAAACTAAAGCAGAGATTCATTAAAGAAACCTTCTAAGGTCCCCAGTTGAATACTGGAAACACTCCCTCATGTCCTAAAAGCCACAGCTAAAGAACATGTTATGTGACCCTGATGGGCACAGCATTGCTCTGGAAAAGACAGGGAAAAACCGCAGTGGAGAGGAGTTATGTTTCTTGACCGCAAGTCCTGAGGAGTGAAAAGACCTGACCCAAAACTCCTACAAGGCTTAAACAAACTCACCGTCATCATTTCGGAATTCACTTGGGTTGGAACTGTTGAAAGCAAATCAAGGATGTTAATAATGGCTCCCAGGCTCCCAGGAAATGAGCTGACTTCGTTTTCCACCTTGCCTGTGCTAATAGAAAGATCCTTTAGGTATGTAGCGAGCTTCTTGTCCTGTGTGGGGCTCTTGATCAAAGCCTATTAAAACAAAAGCCAAAACAGAAAGACAAACAGAACAACTCACCAATCAGTTCAATGATCAAATCCTACTGATCCATCCATGACAAAATCTCTCATATCTGTAGTTTCCTTTTTTCTCCATTCCCATAAGTATATCCCATAAGATAACTTACTTATCTCTTAAACTATCTGTGTGTACTCTTCAGAACAGAATATTACGTAAGAAGGGGAACAGTAAGACATGACTAGTTGAAAAAAAAGGGAAAGTAGATGAACTTTAGTAGTGTAACAAGTAGTAGAATTAGATTAAAGTTGAGTAGAGTTGTCACTTGGATAGTCTACGGAAGCATTTTGCTGCTCTTTGCTTTTTCTTATCTTTTATCTTGCTAATCATTAGGGTGACTGTCCATCCCAATTTTCCTGGGACAGTTCTGGTTTATATCTGCTGTCCCAATGTAATTATTAATAGTGGCCTCTTTTGTTTTTAAAAAGTGTCCTGGTTTGGATGATAAATTATATGGTCACCCTATCTACAATGATCACACTTGTATTTTCTAACTCCTACTTATAATTTCAAGAGTGAACTCAAATTCAATCTTCTCCATGAAGAACTTTGATGCGTTTCCCAAATCAGGGGAGTTTCTTCCTCTGTAGGCGTAAGTATTTGTTTTATTTGACATATATCACATTTGTGACATCTCTACTGGTATGATTTTGTGTTTTAATTTTGATATCTCTCCAATTAAATGATAAGCTCCTTAACAATGTGAACCATGTGTTATGTCCTTCTCATACTGCACAATGTCTAAGACAGCACAAGTCATTTGACTTGGTGCATAGTAGGTGTTCAATAAGATATGTTGACTGGATAAATCAAATGGAACATGATAGGCCTGCATGCCTCTTTTCCATTGAAAATGTATTTAGGTATCTAGAATTAAGATCAGGGCCCAAAGTTGAGTTAAAACTAGTGTGATTTCTATCTTTCTCAATTAGGATAATCTATATGCCCAATGCTTCATCCATCAAGGTCTAACTCAGATGCCAAGTTTTTCGAGCGGAGGTTCCTAATCATCCTAGCCAAATAGTATGTACATAACATCTATATTCTCTATCAAATCAGGGGTCAAGTTCTGATTTGGCCTCTTTACCCTGATAGCACTTATAATAATGCTTTGCACATAGTAGGTATTCTAATGAATTTTGCGTAAGACAAGAGAAGAGACAGAAGACAATTAGATAAAACACAAATCAATATCATCCCTTTTCAATTCTTCTTCCAAGGGTAAGAGGATTTGGAACTGGTTGTCTGAAGATGTCACCATTAGCTATAACACCACTGGTTGCCTCATCAGTATTTATTTATCATAACTCATGGAATTTTAGGAGGCTTTAACTCTCAACAACTCAGGTACGAGGTGACATTTACTCATTTGATGGGAAGAAAGGAATTTTCCCCTACACATGGCAGTAACCTCTATTGCAGGTAAGAGAGGCAGGCTAGTCCCTTCTTCTATAACTAGAGGTCACCTCTAAGGATTGAGGAAATCTCAGACCTGTAAAAGCATAAAGCCCTACAATTTTCTTTTTTTGAAAAACTGATGAACTTTATTTCTTATATTGCTCCTCTTCCTGAAAAGAGTAGAGCTGTTTGCTCTAATTATTCAAAGGTGATATCAAAATTATTCACAGGAGAGCGGTTAGAAAGAACAATCCTGCCTACACCTTGGAGCTAATGGAAACAAGGTACTGAGAAGTCAAGGCCAAAGTATACAGCTAGTCCTAGAGTGGGAAGATATTTTGTTGCCTCCACATTTATATTTAAGCAAATTTTTAAGCATTTCTAGATTACATCTTCTTTGGAAACAAACAAATAAAAGTACCTTTGAGAGCAACACAAATCAACCCAAGCGCCATTTTCCTAAGTGCTGAGATATATAAGCTAGACAGGTCTCCCCACCAAGAGCTCAGAGTCAGAGGTCTCAGGATCACCTTGGCCAGCTGGAGCAGACTGTTTATTGGGGCAGAGATGCAGTTGTTTCTCTTCACCTTCCACTGGGAGCCTACACATTCGTAAGTTATGATCCCGCCAGCAGGACCTCCAGGGCTGCTGGGAATGTCTGAGAACTGGCACAGCTTCTGGATGACTCTCCCAGGCTCCCCAACACCTATTACAGGATCCTGGCACATGATGGTCATCTCTGCATTGGAAACATGGAAATAAAAGAGACAATTGAAAAGAGGAGAAAAGTAGGGGAAATAGGGCCAGGCGTAGGCAGAATTTTGATGTTTGAGTTCATCTTTCTCTCTACTTTTGGTGACCTGGTCAGAGTTCTCCAATTTCTTTATTTTGCCCCTGATTTCCCAAAGCCCCTTAGTGCTTTCCACACAAATCTGACTTTAATCTGCACTTGCTTTTCCTAACAGAATTTGTTTCCTCTATGACTCATTCCCACCTCCAGTCCCTGGGAATCTTCTCTCTGCTGCCTATAAAATCTAAGCTGTGGAAAACAATAAGAGCTCAATGTATGCTTATGCAGATAAGAGAAGTTCTGCTCACCAGGCGTCGTAGGGACAAAATACCTTAATCCGAGGGCTTCTCAACTTTGGCGTAAGAGAATCACCTGGGGAGCTTGGAAAACACCAAGGCCCAGGCTCACTCCGGCCCAAGGAAATCAGGATGTCTTGGGCTGGGATTCAGGCATCAGTAGTTTTTTAAGCTTCCCCAGTGATTCCAGTGTGCAGCCAAGGTCGACAAGCACTGTCTTAATCCAAAGATATATTTAGTAGTGTGAATTCAAGGCACCCATGACCTAAAGATTCCAGGTAATATTTGCAAGTATTTGTTCCTTCTGGTTTCTATTAATGGTGACTCTATTTCATCTCTACTCAAGAGAAGCCTTGAATGGGAAAGTGGCATTTGTTGCAGAATCTCTAATCTCCAGAGGACTCTGATTCTCTTATGAGCAGATCCCTCTCTCACCAACTTTTGAATTAAGCTTTAATTGAGTTCTCAGCCATTGTATAAAATCTTCAAATCCATAAGTAAGGTTCTACTAAGAAAAGGAAGTGGAATCGGAGTTGGTATGAAGAAAGAGAAGAACAAAGATAAGTGAATAAAACATGTTGATGCCAGGGCTAAGATGGGGGCACAATAAAGAAATGACCTTGGCTGCCCTCTGGAAGACGTGTTCTTGGTAGAGTCAGCAGGCAGTGCTTCAGAGACATAGGGAACTCTAAGCTGCTTCCTACTTTGGTGTCCAGGCCTCAGTTACCAACACATGTGAGAATGACCAAAAATCACTCAGTAAACTCAAAGGAACTTGGTGATAGAGCCATGGATCCTTCAAAGATTGGGGGTCCTACTACAGAGAAGATTTCTGGGGGAGAGGATTGCTTATGGTAGAAGCCCAGGACCATCATTTACCCACTCGCCCCTCTGTGGTTGCTAAGGAGAGCTGTTACAGAAATGGCTCCACAAATCATGACCTTTTGCTTTGGAAATATGATGTGGGGGGATATTGGCTCAATGATGACAAAGGATGAAAAAGACAGTTGCCTAATCTTTAGATCGACTCTTTCCATGTAACCCTGTCTCAGTGAAACAGTGCTAGTGGGGACATCCTTCCTTTGGTGAAACCTCAGAGGGGTCTCAGCCTCACACAGACACTGTGCACTCTTGTCTGCCTGGGGTGGTGTACAGCCCTCCAGACTCAGCGGAAATAAGTCTTCATCGGCAAGGCTCTCTGCATCACTTCCTCCCCACCTATCACCAGCAGAGTTAAACCAGGTAGCCTCTGCTGGCTGCCCACAGCGTCTCTAGTTTAGCCCTTACCATATTATATGTGATAACATTTTTTATCATATCTATCTCTCCCTAGGCTTGAGGCCAGGAAACATGGCTTATTTCTTTTCCAGTCCCCATGCTTAGCCCAAGACCTGCCATATAAATGTGCTCGACATATATCTATTGAATGGGTGAACGAGGGAGTGAATGAATACATGACTCGTGACTATAACACTTTAAAGTAATTTAAAATGCTCTCACCAGGAACCAGATTAAGCTTCATAGACGTGCTCCGGACTGAGTTATTAACAGCATTGGTAAAATGACAAAACACATCAACATGTTTTGGACACTGGAAAACTGAGTTTGCCGTGAAATCATATTTGTAGCACACTTGTTTTCCGTTCACTTCTTTTGCTAAGATAGAATTATTGAAAGAATTAAGTTACAGCATGAATATCCAAAGCATACAGTTTGTTGAAAGGATCGATATGAATAAACTTGTCCACACTCTTCCCAGGAACGTGCCACATTCACTTCACATGTGGGTTTACTTATTTACTTTCTGCCTCCAGCTCTTAGAAGTAAGTAAACCCACATTCCCATAGATGCTAGCCAAAACTTTACCTCCACCATCCATCACTCCAAATCTGTGCCCACACATTTTTTTTGACAACGAAAATGCCTTCTCAGCATCCTTCTAATCCCCCTATCTATCTAAATCCCATCATGCCCTGTGCATTCATTCTATCCTGCCTTCCCCACATTCATTCAGCATCACCTCCAATAGGGTCTGTCTCCTCCACTGGACATTAAGTGTCCAGTCTTACTTATCTCTGCACCTCCCAGTGCCTAGCCTAGCATTTTGCACATAGGACTGAATGCATGCATCTTGAACAAAAAATGTTGAGATGTTTGAATATTTCAACACCCACATTGATTCCATGTCCCCCTACCATGCAGCCTTCTCTAAACTGTCCAGTCTTTATTGGGTCCCTGCTTTTCTGAACTCATACCATTCTTTCAATCTGTATTACTCATTTTGGATATTTAATGTTGTATGCATTATCTGTTATGACATGAGCCTTTCTAGATATTAATATATGTGCGCCACTTCTTTTGTCTCCTTTCTATTGCCTGCTGTGTGTTTTGCCTCGAGCAGGCCCCCAATAGTTCTTGAAAGAATAGATGAGTTTGTAAATCTCTCATGAAGATGTCTGTGTCTTGAGATTTGGGGTTATGAGCTCATATTTGGTTGCCCTTAATCTGTAGGAATCCTGAGGGATCTGGATTGAGGGGACGTTCTACCAGAGAGGATTTGAAATTTTTTTTGCCAGGTGCCATCAGGTGCTACCAATGGACAACTTTAAGTTAATTACTCCTCAACTTGGAGTTCCGGGACCACTCAGGCAGTGTAATTTCAAACCTGAAACCCAAGTGAAGTCAGGACAGTTTTAATTCTCAGGGGAAATTTTTGCCCAGCCAGAGATGAGGCCAAACTCTTAACTCAGGCAGATAAATTTTGTTTCTCTAGCTTATTCTTTTACTGAGCATGTCACCCTTTGAGGGTCCTGACATTGTGCTGGTAGGGTGGGGATGTCTCCCCCTTTTCTTTCGTGTCCTTCAGAGCCTTAAATCACAAGGTTTTGGGTTTCTGATATTGACAAATGCCCTCAGGAAAGCCCCAACACTAGCCAAAGCATTATCTCTATTTTTATTTTCCTCTGCATTTTTGGCCCTTGGTTATTGCTCTTACTTTCTTGTATGCTTAACAGTGCATTTAAAAGGATTTTTGTAGACCATGTAGGATTTTTAGAGCATGCTGATTTATACGATGGAGTGACGGACTACCAGAATATCCAGTTTACTCTATTGAGGAAGCAGAAAGTCTGTGAAGGGACCTTAACACTGCCTTCAACAGCTCCAACTAATCAGAATGGGCTCTGCCCTCACAGACTCTCAAGATTTTGCCACAAACCAACAAGCTATGAACCACATAGCAAAACAGAAGGTAATGAAGTCTCATGGGATTCTGCTCTGTTACATTCTATCTCTGATACAGTCCCTGTGTGTGTTTCTTGACCTTGACTTTAAGAGCAACTTTTTTCACTCTGTATGCATGAAAGAATATGTCCTAACAATTCAGCAGTTGGCTTCTTACCAGCAGGAAAGAACCAGGAATCCATTTGGAAAGTTACTTTGTAGTCTTCATCATCCTCTATGCAGCACTTCAAGTGACGGGAACCTCTGAGTGGAACGACAGCTTCCAAAGGATCAACCATGATGTTCGACTCCAGCGGCAGAGGGTGAACAGTGACATCTTTGGTGGCAACTCTGTATGAATTCTTATATCTAAATATGCAGTAATAGGTTCCTGAGTGGAAGGAAGCAAAAATGAGATGGAGGTTCAGTAAGACCCTTCAGTTTTCTAAACACTACTTCTCTTTGCTCCAACGCTGAAGGAGCCAGAGCAGGAGCTGGCCAGAGGGAAACCAGAACAAGAAGAGAGAAGAAACTCCCTTCCATTCCTGTTGGGAGGGAGGGAAATTTAAATTCAATATAAAATAAAAGCATAGTTGATTTAGATGAGAATAGTTTTTTTTAGTTCGAGTATCGGACTATTAATAGTTTAATGTGACTGGAAAAGCTATGGCTCCTCCTAAGTCATTGCCTAGTGACAGGAAAGAGCAATTGACAGGGTAGGCATGAGTTCAGCATGGGAGAAAAATACTCCCGCTTCCTGATTGTACACTAGCAAGTCCAAACAAGAACTAGTTATTTCTACAGTGTTGCCCAGGCCTCAAATGAAAAAAAAAAAAGAAGACCTGGAACTCACAGGATCTGGACCGATTAACCTGATAGTTAAGGAAAGGCTTCAGGTGGAATGAGTAAGTGTTGGCCACTGGAGCCAGGATTGGTCTCCCCCTGACTCTGCCATTTACCAGATGTATAATCTCAGGTAATATACTCAACCTCGCTGGCCCTCAGTTTCCTCATCTGTAAAATGAGGAAAATAATAGACTATCTTCTAGGTTTATTGGTTTTTTTTTTTTTTGACAGGGTAGGATTCGCCCGGAGCTAACAGCTGTTGCCAATCTTTCCTCTTTTTTTTTCCTCCCCAAAGCCCCAGTGCATGGTTGTGTATCCTAGTTGTAAGTTGTTCTAGTTCTCCTATGTGAGCCATGCCACAACATGGCAACTGACAGATGGGTGGTGTGGTTCTGAGACCAAGAAATGAACCCAGGCCGCCGAAGTGGAACGTGCTGAAGTTTAACCACTAGGCTAACAGGACTGGCTTTAGGTTTATTGTTTTAAGTGAATTAACACACTTAAACACTTAGCACAGTGCCTATCACAGAGTGAGGGCTCAACTGATGTCAGCTACCATAGCTGCAGTTCTATCAAATTCTCTTTTTTCCCCAAAGATTTGTATTTCTTCCGAATATGAACAAGGTGCAGAGATAAAGAGGAAATAAAAATGTTTCTTTCTTTGGAATCAGGCATATGAAAGCTTCACCTAGATTTTTTACAGCCCAGTTGGGTGAAACACTCCTAAGAGTCTGATAAAAGGACTTTTAAAAACAATCCTCTTTCTTAACTTCATGGCAGGAGCCCAGGCTCTAGAATCAGAGAGACTAGTTCCAATCCTGACTCTACAACTGCAGTCGTGAAAACTTAGGCACATTTACTATTCTCTCTGAGCCTCAGTTTCCACATCTGAAAAATGAGAATAACAACATCTTCCCCAAAGGGCTGTTGCATTAAATGTGATGGCATATTTAATGTAAAGTGGTTGGCGCAGGCATGCCCCAGGACAGGTCCCCCAGGGATGGTAACTAGTACAGTGTCTTTCCAGGGGTCCAGGCAGCAGAGCAGGGAGGGTGTCTGGCTTGCTTTTCACTCACCGTTCCACTCCCTGGTCGCGGTCTTCACCGTCAGTACTGACTCTGTTCCATTGGGACACCTCCTTGTGGTATAAAACCTTTTGTGTATTTTAATGCCAGCAGAAGTGTTCCAGTATACCTCATCATAGCTATTCACATCACTGGTGCACTTTATAGATAAGCTTTGTCCCTCAGAAACAGAAATTGGGTCCGGGGTTATTATTAGGTTGGCTGAAAGAATGCAAAAAAAACAACAGACAAAAGAAAACCAACAAGAAGCACAATGTTTAGTCTTTCCGGTGACATTGACATAGGAGCGAAAATTAAGACAGACAGAAAACAGGGACCGTCCTGACTCTACTTGTGTCAACGCGGGATTGGTACCTTGCGGCTCCGGGGCTTTACTTGTTTCTAGGCTGTTCCCGGTGGTGCTCTGAATTGTACTCATTTCCTTCACATGCCTTAGGAACTCGTGCACTTCCCCTTTGTGGCTGGAATTAGCTCCTGATGATCAGCAGGGCAAAAGGTTGCAATCTTAGGGGTGTTGACTTAACCCAAGCTCCCCTCCAACCTCTTCGGTGACACCTCAAGGGAGACTAAAATGGCTAGGTTCCTGTAACAGCTTCATTCTCTACTCTTTTAAAATACCTTTTAAAAAATAGTACCACACTATATTTTAATTTAATCCTTTCATCTCTTTTCCGTATAAATGTGAGTCCCTCCAGAGCGGGACACTCTCCTCTGCGTCTTTGCATTCCCAGCACGTAGCACTGCATCTAGTACACAGTCAGCGCTTACTAAGCAGAAGAGTGATTTTTGGAACTATATTTTTAGTAGAGGGATCATAGAGTTTATTGCCCAAATAATTACACCAGGACTGTCTCGGGCAAACGAGGATGTATAGGATCCTAACTACAAGTCTCTCTCCATCTACTCCTCATTCTGAGAATGTCCTCATCGGTTCATGAGGAATTATTCATCAAAAATGTTAACAAGACCCTTACAAATATAAAAGCTTATATGAACATGCCACTACTTTTGCCTCTGAATCTTTCCGCTGCTCGTTGAGCATGTCCTTTACATAGTTGACATTTCAAAATGCCATTCATTTCTGTCTTCTATAGGGGAACAACTTCATGCCTTGAGCCCACTGATGCTAGCCTGCTTCTCCAACCAGTGTAAAATCTTATTCTTAGTCATAGTCAAAAGAAGTCAGGGCTTTCCACAGTACTCTTTAGAAGTTAAGATCAAATGTGGAGAACTCTAAAGTCATGCAAGCATGTATTAACGTGTCCCTCACACTGCCATCACTGTGTAGGGATCTTGAGATGCCTTTTTCAGGTTTAGCAGAAAAAGTGGAAAGGCTCACGGAATCATGAATTTGGTTCTCTTGCTTCTCAGTTGAGGTCAAACTACCAGACCAGTGGTTTTCAGCGAAGGCTAAATAGGTCCCAAAAGACAGCCAACAGCTCACATAATCAATACAACTCTCAGGTTAGAGCTTGCAGTGGACAACTGCTCTCACTGTAGAAAACCGCAAATTGCTCAAAAGACCCATGAACGCTTCTACAGCAATAATATTTTCAGATAAACCTAATCTTGCTCTTTGTAAAAATTCTAAGTCATGATAACAGAAAATCAGTCCTTTCTCCAAATTGTTTGGGGGTGGGGGGGGTGGGGCGGGGTGGTGTCTGATGATTTATCTAAATAGTTCATTTTTGTAAGATGGGTGGAAAAACAAGTTTGCCCCATTTTTGCAGATAGGGGTGATGTTATAAATGATTTATGATATGAGGAGAAGAAATGATACTTTCAAGAGGCCTACTAAAGCTGAATTAATTGAAATATTAAAAAATACTTGTTACAACCGTAAAATAACCACAAAGTATCAGATTATTAAAGCTTTCTGCAGCATTCTCTCTGGAATAGGTGAAATGGGAGAGGTGGAATGACAGAGGGAGGTGAATGGTGGTAGGGAATGAACCAGGCTATTGGAATTCAAGGCAGGGAGAACGGGATTAAGGGAGGAGAAAGGGGGAAATTAGGGGCATTATCCTCCTTATAAATTTAATGGTTAAATAGGACCAATCTGGGTGTGAAACCTACATCCCAGTCTACTTTGTGCATTAGCAGTACAAGGCAGGCCCTTCCTTCCCTGGTCCCAACCTCTAGCCTTCCTGATTCTAAAGACTTCATCTGCATTTAAATGGCAGAGAGGGAGCTCCTCTTCTGTCTCCCACTGTGGGATCTACCCCGACCACACTCCCGCTACCTAACGGGGAAGGCTCTGCTTTATTGCTCATGGATGTTCCCAGGTGATCGGCAGCCCATGACTTGAGGTGCAAGGCTACAAATTCTGGCGAGCGAGTCCTTACCCACAGAGGTGAATGTCACTTGTATGTTCTTACTGCCTCTGGCTCCATGGGCACTGGTGAACTCACAGGTGTAGACGACTTGTGTTCCAGCCGACCCACTTAGACACTGAACTTCGTTGGCGTGGAGGGTGTATTTGCTGCACCTGGGGTCTGTGTCTGTTTCAGAGTTTCCTGCAATGACATAAGCAATTCTTTTGCCGTCAGTTGGCTGACTCTTGGATTTAGTAGCAAAGAGGCCAAACCAGAGAAAAAGAATTATTATTTAAATTTGATTTCTTCTCTTTGAATGGAGAGGCAGGGCTGCATAATGGTTAGGTCTGCAGACTCAGGAGCCAGGTGGCAGCAGATCCCAAACTCTAACACTTAGCTGGTGGAACGTTATTGAGAAAGTCACTAGACTGCTCTGCGCCTCTGTTTCTCCAGATGTAAAATAGGGATAAATAATAACAGCTCTGCCCAGGACTGTGGTTAGGTAAAATGAATTAATATATATAAATAAACACTTAGAACAGTGCCTGGCTGGGGCCCGCCCCCAACAAAGAGCATTAGTGGTGGTCGTTCGAGTGTGAGAAATAAAAAAGAGAAGCAAAGTGTTTGGATATGATTTCAACTGGAAGGAAAAAAGGTGTCGGACTATTTAAACTGTTCTTATTATTGAAAGGAGGAAGAAACAAGACTGGCACACCTGATAGGCATCTCATTTGAGAAACGTTTTCATAGCTTATTCCCTATCAGTCTATATGTTTTAGTGGAAGCTTCAATTCATGATTTTTCAGATTATCAGCAGTTTCCCCTTCAAAATAGTTCCTTTTTCATATCTTCCTTTCCATTCCCAAGATGCCCTCCAAGCCCTCTTTACTCCTTGCCTATGGCTCTCTTACACCCTCCTGGTGAGTTTTTTCTACTCCCGTCCCTTCACTCTCTCTCTTCCAACCTTGCCTACCGCCACGTACCCTTAAGACATTCTTCAAATACTATCAATCTTCCAAAAACTAAAGAAAAAGAATAAAGCTTCTGATTAGCTCCAACAGAAATGCATCTTTTCCAGCCTTGGCTGGATGATCAATGACATCTGAAATATTTTTATTGATATATAACCAGCTTTTCCCCTCAGTTCCCAAAATGGTTGTTCAGAACACCAAACTGACTTCCAGCTTCACCCACCTTGACTAAACTACCTCCTAACTCATGGGCACAAGTGTCCTTAATCTTCTCTAAGGCTCACCCCTCCACTTATCTTTGGAAAACCCACTTCCTCCATTTCCTCCAGGACTTTATTCTCTCCTTTATATTTCCTTTCCCCGGTGTCTTTAATCTTTCCTCACTTCAACCACCAGATACACTCAAGTCTTTCCTTATTAAAACAATCCTTCCCAAATCTAAAAGCTCCTCTAGCCACCACCACACTTCTACCTCTCTTCATACCACAATGCTTCTGCATTCGCCACCTTTAGTCTTTCATTCCCACTTTTCATCAAACCATTGCCATTTGCCTCTTCTCCCTATGCTCCACGTCAGGTGTCCTTCTAAGGCCAACTGTGACTCCTTCTCTTCCACATCCAGTGGCTTCTTCTCACACTACCTGGACTACAGCATCCCATTCTGCCCAGCTTCTCCACGACTCGGCTCACTCGACTCCATGGGTCCCTCCTGCTGCTTCTCTCTCTTCATCTCTCCTCTAGTCTTCTTCCCAGGCTCCTCTCTCCTCTCTTCCCTTCTTACATGTTGGTGTTCCCCAGGATATTGGCCTCCCCCAAGCATCCTGATATGGGCTCTTTCCTTATCTTTTTTCTCTACTCTTTCACTGGGCAATCTCATCTACACCCACAGCTCCTATTATATCCTATGTTTGGATGACTCCTCACTCTATCTTCAAGAGAAACCTCTTGTTGGAAACTCTAGAAGCAAATTCCCAAGTGCCAATTTGATGTCTCAGGTACCTCCAACTCAACAGGTCCAATTGAGAACTCATCTTTCTTCTCCTCGGACAAAACCTGCACATCTTCTAATGTTTCTTCTCTTCGTCATTGGCAGTTCACAAAACTAAGAATCTTTAAGTCATCTGAAATTACTTGCATTTCCTCACACTCCACTTCCACTCAGTTGTAAAATCTTTCAGATTATGCCTTTGAAACATCTTACAACTGTCTTATCCACTCCAACCCGTGGTTATTCGCCTGGGTCCCCTTACCTGTTGTCTGCCCATTGCATACTCTTGTAACAGGGTCTGTATTTTCAGTTAACTCCCCTTCAGGCTAGACTGCCTTAAAATTTATTTTTATTTTCTGAAATTTATTTTTCTAAAGTTCAGCCCAGATCATCTCTCTACTCTCTTTTTACCTTTAAAATCTTACCATTGCCCACAAAATAAAATAGTATCTGCTTAGCGTGGTATCTGTGTTTGTTCACAGTATGATTTCAATCTGACTCTGTTCTCTCTGTTTCATTCTATGTTCCTCTCTTACAAACCAGGTCACGTCCTGGGTCTTCAACTTGCCTACAGCTTCATGCCTTTATGCCTGGGTTCACATCTAGAATATTCTCCTTCCTTCTCCCTCCCGCTGACTCTTTCTCATCCTTCAAGGCCAAGCTTTCTCATCAAACTAATGCACGAGACAATGAGCCATGCCAGATGGAGTATATGAAGAGATGTACAAAAATAATTATAATGCACAGTAGATAGATTTCACACAAGAAATAAGTCCATTATGGAGATTAACGTAGGTGTGTTTTAATTGGGAGACTAAGGAAGATTTCAGAGAAGAAGGAAGATCGGCTCTAGGCCTGGAAAGACATGGATAGAATGGTGGCTGTGCTGTTCTGGTGTGTAGCTGTACGCGTGTGTGTATGTGTGTGTGTGTGAATTGGTACTCCTTGGAGAACCTGGCCTTCCATTAAGCTGCTTCAGGAGCTGGGGCTGGGCTGGGGAGTGGAAGCATGATAAGCTATGGGGGCTCTAAGCCCCCCAAACTTTTTATAACTCAAGTGCCTCCACTCTGGTCTGCTTTACCCATCAGACGTGGGGTTCTCAAGAAGGGGCTATTTGGCTTCCCTGGGGAACATTTAGCAATGTTCAGAGTCAGTTTTGTTACAACTTGGGGTGCTACTGGCATCTAGTGAGTAGAGGCCAAGGATGCTGATAAACATCCTACAATGAACAGGACAGCGCCCCATAACAAACAATTCTCTGGCCCCAATGTCATTAGTGCCAAGGTTGAGAAACCCTGCATTAGACAACCACGTAAGATTTTGGTTGAAGAAAGGATTCTACAGTTAAATTAGAAAACCATTGGAGTAAACAAAAGCACAGAAGCAGTAGCCTGCTAGTCCTGGTTGGGGAAAGCTAAGGAGTCCTGTTAGGCTGAAACATGTAGGAAAAGAATGGAGAGGCCAGCCCCATGGCTGAGTGTAAGTTCACACTGCTCTAATTCAGTGGCCTGGGGGTTCACTGGTTCACATCCAGGGTGTGGACCTAGCACCACTCATCAAGCCATGCTGTGGCAGCATCCCACATAGAAGAACTAATATGACTTACAACTAGGATATACAACTATGTACTGGAGCTTTGAGGAGGGGGAGAAAAAAAAGAAGATTGGCAACAGATGTTAGCTCAGGGCTAATCTTCCCCACCAAAATACATACTTTAAAAAAAAAAAAAAGAAGGGCGTTAAGGCTCCAAGGAGATGGTAAACTCAGAAAACAAAAGCAGGACCTCTGAATTGGGAGCATTCACATGGTACTTCATAAACACCCCTGGGGCTGTGCAACTTGGGGTCCTGCACGGAAGGTACTAAATGCAGTGAATTAAGTTGGTGCTCTGCTTTCTGGAGAAGAGATGGGATGCAATTCCAAGTTTGCTGCTCAAGTTAGATAAGATCCAATGAAGACTTCCCACCATACTGAGGACAAGTGAGGGGACGGTTTTTAAAGCTACCATCATTATCAGAAAATAGTTATTGTGGCAGATTCAACGTAGTCAACTCTGTTTTAAATGTTTACATTAATTATCTTGGTTTTTGTCCCTCTGAAAGTCTTGTAAAGTAGGTACCATTATCACTGTTTAGTAGATGAAGGTCTGGGAGCCAGTGCAGCGACCCAGTGTGCTCTGCCTCAGAAAGAGGGCTACGTGGCAGAGCTGGGATTACAGCTTTTCAGGACCAGATACTGTCTTACTGGAAAACACGGGTTGTAAGGTTAATTTTTCCAGGGCAGAAGACTTGGCTTAAGTTCTTTGCTTTTCTTTTTCTTTTATTAAATCCAATTTTGTGGGCATTCTTACAAGTAGAGACATTACTATTTATGATGGGATTTGTCTATGGCCCCATTAAGAACACATAGAGAGACATGGAGGAGGAAAAAGAGGGGTGGGTGACAAGGTGGAGCCCTTTGCCATGGTCAGGGAGACCCCGAGTAGCTCACAGAAAGCCTCAGTTTCCTTGTGTCTAAAATGGGGGATTGGACTAAATCCATGGTTCTTACTCCCCCCTGCCCGATAAAGTCTCTGGTGAAATTTAAGAAAATATGTCACAGTCTGGAGCACAAACCCGGAGATTCTGACTTAGTTGCTCTGGGTAGAGCCCTGACAGCTGGTCTTTTTACAAAACAACTGGGATGACCCTCACGTGCAGCCAGGATGGAGGATGCTGTCTCTAAGGATGCTACTTCACACTTCTAGTTGCTTCTTTGCTTAGATCTGATCTCAGTCTCTGAGGCAGGCCCGCTTCTAGTGGCACTTTATAAAGTGACTTGAAAGCCACAAGACTGTGTCTACTCAATAAAGAAAAAAAGCCAGCCTCACTTTTTTTTTTTATCTCTTACACACACCCTGTTTGACTGCAGAAATAGCATTTCAGACAGCACACAAGCGCACACTATAACACATGGTTAAAAATGTAAGTGGGGTAATTGGGAAGAAAAGATACAAGAAGGGAGATGGTGGAGTTTGAGGCTGTTCCTCCTTCACCAGTCACTCAGCATGCTGTTCCACGTTGTCATACGCCTTGACAGTCAGTCAAGAGGGGGCTGACACCCTCTTGTAAAGGTTCACTTGTTTTGCGAATACTCTGCTTGATGACAGGCCAAGGGACTATGGCAGCAGGGCAAAGAAGGAGTTCATGAACTCATTTGGGAACTGTTCTAACAAAGAGGGAATTAAGGTGCCATTTTTTTTTACCATCACACTAGGTAAGAGAAGCTATGGTGCAACTACAAACTCTGTTGCCCGAAATTCCCCCAAGTGTTCGATACCTTCCATACAGGCAAAGCTTGGACTAGATGTGGGCAAACTAGAAGCTGCACTAATAATAATAACTCTTAGTACGTCTACTGTTACTACTATTAGGATACAGTAACAATACTACACTAATATATATACTCTCTATATATTCTATATTCTCTCTATATTGCAATGTATTCTAATATACATTCTACATATATATAGAATATATTCTATATATATTAGTATAATGTAATCTATAGTATATTACTATGCCAATAATATATATACTAATACTATATACTATTAACACTATTACTTCTGCCACCATTACCATTTACCAACTAATGAGTCAATGCCTGATGATTTGAAAAACCCCAGAAAGCCCTCCCTATTTGAAAAACACCACCATCTTAAGACTGGAAAGTCTATCCTTGCTGATTACTTCCTTTCTGGCTTATTCCTTGCCAGAAGTGTTTTGAAAATGAAACGCAACCATTTCAGAGAAGAGGTAATACCTTCCATTCCAAATGCTTTGGGGTGAATTATTTAGCTACTGCTTTCTACTGACCTGGAAAAACGGGCTCTAAAAGAACTTGCAGAATCTGGAGAAAGATTGCTGCAGAGGGACCAGCAAGGGAAAGGGCAGATTGCCGAGAGCAGAGGCTAAATTCATCAGAAAACCGACTGTGCAGGTCCCCAGGCGGCCAGCCCTGCCGCAGGAAATCCATTGTTCTGTGGTGGGTCGGTCCAGCCCGCACGGGGCAGTAGGAATGTCTGCAGAAGTGGTGACCCAGAGAGGTCCCTGAGCATCTGCACCGCAGACTTCCTGGTTCCTTTGCCAGAGGGCAAGGTTGTTCCCCTCTCGGACTTGAATGCTTATAAGTCAGGACCACGGGAACTTTGCAAGGTCTTTCCCCCATCTGGCAGTTCCTTCAGGATGCCTACACTTCCTCTTCCTTAAAAATCAGGGAAGTGACTAAATGTACCATGTGTTAACATTTTCAACAGTTAGCTGATGCCTTTCCCATCCTTCGGAGCTCTTTAGAAAGGAATGCAAACACTGCAGCTGAAATGAGCTTTGCAAATGGGTGTGCTCAGGAAAAGCTGCGTGTACGTTAATCATTATTTTTTCGTAGTTTAATACAGTCTGATGGCAAAGACTTCATAAAGTAAAGCCTTACCACACTAATATATTTCATGGGCGGAGTCACATTTTACTCTAATGATTTTTTACTTTAAAGATAAGCACATAATCCTGTCATTTCTTAAGGGAAGGCTGGGGTCTTGCTGTGTATGGTTTCTAGGCAGAAGACCGCCTTCTGCTTCAGCGCAGACTCTGTCAGATGAGCTGCTCCAGCACTGGCTCACCAGGCATGAGCAATATCATTTGGCCAAGACCAATGCTGGTCTTGTGAAATAAGACCTCAGGTGAGTCTCAATGCTTTCTTTTCTTTTCCTATTGTGACAACCTTGGATAAGTCATTTAATACACAATTTCCATATTTGCAAATTAGAGGTAAAAATGCCAGGTTCAAACTTGCAGTCAAGTTTAAACCTGACTAAAAGTGGTAACATTTTGTTGTTGCTGCTGTTGTTGAGGAAGATTGATCCTGAGCCAACATCTGTTGCCGATCCTCCTCTTTTTGCTTGAGGAAGATTGTCGCCGAGCTAATATCTGTGCCAAGCTTCCTCCATTTTGTATGTGGAACACCACCAAAGCATGGCTTGATGAGTGATGTGTAGGTCCATGCTTGGGATCTGAACCTGCGAACCCCGGGCCACTGAAGCGGAGTGCATGAACTTAACCACTATGCCACTGGGCTGGGCCCAATCATATATCTTTAAAAACTGGTTAATCACAAACTGTTATACAAAACCAAGTCAGTATGCTATTTTAGTTTATTATTATAATTATCATTCATCAGTATAAACTGGATGGTGGGGAACTTCAAGTCAGGTCCCAGATCTAAAACAGATGCAAATAGGATCAGAAATTGACATGACACCATTGAGAGACAAACAGGTCTGCACAGAGACATGAAAAAGCAGAGGCACAGAATGGCATAATATAAAAGAAAGTGTGGATACAAAAGCAGAGAAATGAGAAGGACAGAAACTAAGAGAAGAGACACAGAAATGAGAAGCTCCAGTCAGACCCCAAAACCAAGCCAATGACTTCATCCTTGGCTCTTTGCTGAAGATGGAAAGGAAGGTGGGGATGAGCTTTCCTGTGGGTGGGAGGTGCTATGGACCTAAGTCATCAGGTCCCTCCCTCTTGGGTCTTCACTGCCAGGATCTCATCTACAATCTGAGCATGACAGTTATATGTACATGTTTTTGGAATTTTGTTCTAGAATGGCTAAGTTGGAGCTGGCATCACACCTAGTACTTTTTCACAGTCTGAAGTGTGGGAAAAAACAGCCATCTGCCATTTCCCCTTCCACCCATCACATCTCCCATTTTCACTTGGCCAAGAGGCAAAAACCTATTTGCAAAACAGCATCTAACGTTCTTACCTGGAATGCTTATTTTCCCCTCTTGCTTCCATTCTATTTTACTCCAGTTAACATGAATGTCACTGCAGCAGTTCAAAGATACAGGACTGTTGCACATCACCTGCATTTCTTCATTTGCCGAAATTCGGATGGGTGTAACATTTATTTTTTTCCTGGCTTCGTATTCAAAAATATCTAATGTCAGTTTGCAAATATATTCACCTGCATAGAATACACAAAAGCATTTATTACTACTACATATATGTAGTTCCTTAGAAGAATGACAGCCTCCTCTCGTGTGCCACCACAGTACTTCATGAAACATCATTTTCAAAACCTGAGACTTGGTCTAAACAACTGTCAAGGAATGTTCAGGAAATACAGGTCAATGCAGATATTTCGGATTCCACCAGGTAAAGTGTAGAGAGACGCTATAAAGTAAGAGCAGAAATTTCAGTCTTTACTAGTAAGAAAAAAGTGTAGGAATAGAAGAGGTAGAAAGGGAAAATTGGAAAGCCTTGGAGAATTAGAAGACCATGGATAATTTTGGCATCCTGTTTAACACTGTGGCAACATCAGAATCAACAAAGAAGTGATAGGACCCACGTCTGCAGCCCAACTTCTCATTCAGAGAAAGAGAGGTGACCCTGTTGACATCTGGGTTACAATGGGATTATTAAATTCTAGAATGTCAGGTTTAAAACTCACATTTCTGGGTTGCTGTGGGAGAGGAGGGAAGAGTGGCAGGGGGAGCAATTACAACAGAGTAAAACAAAATTTGGGGGGGTGACAAATATGTTCACTATCTTGATTATAGTGATAGTGTCACATGTGTGTATATATGTCAAAACATTGAATTGTACACTTTAAATATGTACAGCTTATTATATATCAATTCCACCTCAACAAAGCTGTTTTAAATTTTTTAAAAATTAAAAGTCTACTTTCTGTCTCAGCTTCCAACTAAGCTTCAGTAAATGTAGAAAAGTGTATTTGTCTCCAAGGCTAAATTTGCTTGGTCCATACATCATGGGATCAATGTTCAGTTTTGCAAAGTTGCACCTGGTGAACTCCTTTTGGAGAGGAAAATGCTATATACATATTCCATGGTTTGCTTCTGTGTGAGCTCTTCATTCCTTTCCTTGCACCAGTTATTGGATGGAAACCCACCTGCGTCACCCTGAGTGATGTTGTAAATAGTGAAGCGTGACAGTGAGGTCATGTTGTTGAGCACGGAGGTGTAAATCCAGAATCTGCTGCTGTTCTGGACGTCGGAGCGCCTTTCGACATGGTACCAGGACACGTTGGAGGACGGAACTTCATTTTCACACACCAGAGATACCGTATCCCCTTCAAAGATGATTTCTGGTATGACAGAGAACTTAGTTTCATCTGGAAACCCAAAGAAAATGTATTAGGATTCCAAAGCAAATAAATGTAATTGACGCTACCGACCAGACCAGACGCCACCATCACAGGGGTTCTCTGGAAATCCCCACGTGGGCAGTGCATCCTCCTTGCTCCATCCCCGGGCAGCTGGAAGCTGAGGCCAGAGAGTTACAACCTGCCAGAGTCCAGGGACATGGCTTCCAGTTTGCCGTCTTTGCACACTTGAGAGTTCTCAATGGTAGTGTTGGGGATCTCAAAGCTATTTTCAATATTTCAAATAGTCTGGTAGGAAATTGCACATTTGCTTATGAAAAAGCCGCATCAGCTAACTTAAACTGCAAGTTTCCTTGCTACTGACTCAAACAGTATCAACTGCTTCTTCCTAATAACCGATACGTTGTGTTGACTAAAAGCTCTGTCCTATGTCTTTGATGAATTAGAAATAAGAAGACAATTTAATGTTTGATAATTAAAGTCTGGTTGGGAAATAAGGATTTTTTTTTAAGACCTAATACCCATGGGCCCTTAAAATTGGGAGCTATACAGACACACGGGTCCAGATTTGAATCCTGGTTTTGTGCCACACATAGCTGTGTGCCTCTAGGGAACTTGCTTAGCCTCTCTGAATCTCAGTTCCCTTGTTTGGAAAATAGGGGCAGTGAGAGCTACCTTGGGAAGTGACTGAGGGAATAGCAGCTGTTATTATTGTTTTCATGGTAAAATTATGGAGAACTGTGGTGTTAAGCCATTTCACGGGTAGAAATAAAAACACAGCATTTGCTATTTTGTGCATGTTTTTCTGGTTGTGCTTTGCTTGCACAGCTTTCCGTCTAAGCTGTTTCTTGTGCTACGTCCTTCATGAGTTCATGTGTTGAGGAGCTGGGTAAGTAGCTCTACGAGGCCTCTCTTGTCTGGGGCTTCATGCTCAGGCCAGACCCTCTCCGTATGGTAAGCACGGGACCAAAACACCATAAGATGACTTTGGGGTGGTATGATGTTCTAGTCAAAATATCAAGGCATCTGAATATTTATTGTCATTGTTTTTAGGCTCCTGAGTAAAATAAGATTTAAAAAATCACATTCAACTATTAGGAAGCAAGGCCGTCTGTGAATATTTAATATAGTAAACTGCCTTTGAGGTCACAAACGTGTGTTACTTACTATGTGTCCTTAAACAAATTATTTACCCTAAGTCTCTGTGTCCTCACCTATAAAATGGAGATAATAATATCTACCTCACAAGATATATGAAGATGAAATGTGTACAAACACGAGCTTAACATAGAAAAAATGCAATAATAGTGTCGCTCTTTTCCTTGCTATCGTTTCTAATAACTACGATTAGAAAAACTACCAATATCATATAGTTACATGGAATTCATCGTAAATTTATTGGGGGTGATTGAAGAAAAAGGTGTACTGGTTAAAGGACCCTGCTGGTTAATCGAACATCACCAGAGGATTAATATATGACAAAATAAATGAAACTACTCTGAAGATTGCCAGGAGTCCTTCACGTTTCATAAAGACGGACTTAAAAATTAGTTCCTGCTACCAACTCACCCATTCAGCGTTTTTCTTTCTTATTCTCTTCCTCTCCCCTGGCCCCTAAATATAATTATAACTTTTTAAAAACACCTAGTCATTTGATTTTTTTGGATATTTATATTCTGGGTAAGTGCCACCAACGCCGTGGAGAGCCGGATGGCGTGAGCTCCCCGTGGAAGTGCACATGGCGGATGTCCACGGTTAGGGGTCTAACTAAGGCTGTGCACATCGCAGATCGCATGCTGGTCTTCGAGGGAGGATGGAGATGGACATAGATCCTCTGTAGAAGGGGGTGTCGAGCGCTATTCGCAATGACTTCCTTGCTCTTTGGAAGAACAACCCATAGACACCAAAGCTCCTTTGTGAACTGTACTGTCAGCACCGTCTTCCCGGACTGACAGTCACCCACCGATGAGTACAACTGCTGGATACTTAGGCATTTAAGTGGCAGACCATCCTCAGCACAACTGAAACTTCTGGGGAAGAGTACTCCTAATTCAAGCTTACCTATGCTAGAGTCTGCTGTTCTCCTCTGCCCTCAGAACCGGAAATAAAAAGCATTTTTCAGGGCCAAGCATCGGTTGGTTGGTGGGGTGGCGCTGGGGGTCGGGAAGCAGTGGGCTTGCTGAGACGGCTTCTGTGTGAGTCCACACTCTCAGGCACTTACTCCTCTTCCTTTAATGTTCTGGCTTTCGTGTATGTTGTTGCTGCCTTATTTATTCTAAATTTGTATTTTGCTATTTTATCTTATGTTGTAGCACTTTCTTACCATTGTGTCTACCTCTTTCAATATTTTATTTTTAAAGATGAGCTGATGTCTAAAAATACCAGCAGAGAATGTAAAGAAGAAGAGTATAAACCTGCTGTGAGGACGGCCTAACTCCTGTGAAGGGGCGCCCTGTGCCCCGGTGTGCCCGCAACAATCTGTTCAGTGCCTCCCGCACACTGGACCGTGTTGCTCCAAAAAGGATGTGCCTGCACTCTGGAACCACGCACTTGAGTTATCTGGGACATCTGCCAGTCAATTCTCGTCCGCCAAATCTCTGCCCAGCCCACTCCCCTTTCTATCCCCCAAGTAACAATAGGTCCACCCACCTAATAACGCAACAGAGCCCAGCTCTGTACCCCATTTGTAACATGGGGGTGACTATCTAAAATCCTAGGGTTCTTATCACTGTTATATGTGATCCAAAGCAGTGGTTCTCAAACTTCGCCCTGCATCAGAACCACCTGGAGGGCTTGCTGGAACACAGACTGGCCCAGCTGGTCTGAGGTGGCCCCAAGAATATGCATTTATAACAGGATCCCAGGTGGTGCTGATGGTGCTGGGCTGGGGGCCACACTTGGAGATGTACTGCTCTAAAGTAACAATGGTCCTCTACTTAATATCAATGAATTTCATGAATATCCCAACCACCACCATAATGTTAGTTTTACTTTTTGAATGTTTTGTACAAATCCACAAATCCTGATGGCTCTGTAGCCCCTTTGTAAAATCTCCCCCAAACGCAGTGACATTAGCCTAGTTGGGAGGCTCTGCACTGGCCGAAGAAGATGGCACACAAACCTCTACGCCAGGAAGTGGAGCGTCTCTCTCCACGGACATCGTAATGTAATTTCCTGGATTTAAGCATAACAATGGACATCATTTCTATATCTAAATAGGATCTATGTATAGGAAAAAATGTAGCGATGTTCTACTCACTACTTGTAACTGCTTGAAAGGAGTTGTAGTCCATTTTGTAGGTCTGATTGAGGTTCTGTAACACTTGCTCATTCGCTTTACGCATTAATTCAGGTGATGATGTTGTAGTCGTGACTTCGTATGTCACAACCACACTTCCGGGCCTGGAAGGAGACCACTCAGTTCAGTAAAGCAGTACCCGACCTGAAAGAGTCTAGACCCTTATGATTTATTTGCATAAGAAAATAAAATGGCAGGAACAGCCTGGGTGCTTTTATCTTGAAGGGTTCACTGAAATCAACCTGTTTACAAGCTACAGTTGAAGGCCACGGCCAGGCTTGCAAATGTCTGCAGACATTAACATAAAGGAACTAAATACCAGAAGGAAAGAGTGAATTGCATCCCATAAGCTGGTGATAAGGTGGTAGCCACACTGCAGACACGTTGTCATGCAGCCCTGCTGGCCTAGGGTTTCCAGATATGCCGAATGTCAAGCGAAGCCAAAATCTTGAATGTTTCTGTAAACATTCTTAATTTTTAAAATCGGCGGCTAACTGTTTGAAACACTGCGTGAACTCACTCAGGGCTGCCAGAGTGCCCAATGCCAAGCAGAGTGCAACTAGCAGCGTGCAACTCTGTGGTCGTGGCTGGCTGGTCAGCTTTTCTTAAATAAAAGCATCATTGCGTTGACATCATTTCATTTTTATATTCCTGAACTTCCTAGACCGCAAATTTATCCAAGATCTTTGTTTGCAAAACTCTTCCATGCATAGAATGAATGCAAGCCTTGTTCTCACGTCCTTCTAAGTAGGCACACCTGTAAGGGGTGAGCTACTGTTCTTGGTACTTCCTTCCTCTTTGAGCCCGCAATGGGCATTGTGTCTTCCCTCTACTAAACTGCTCCTGTTGAGCATGACAGGTGATGGCCCTCTAACGGACTTTTTCTCCCTCACTGACGTGTTGATCTCTGCCATTGGATAGAAATGACCTAATTACAGCATTCTTACCTGAACCCTGTCACAGTCACCATTTTGAAGCCTGGCAAAATCCTGTAACCTTTCCAGAACTGGAAAATAAAGCAAGACAAACGTCATGTATCAAGATCCAGTGGGAGATATGTCAAAAGACTTTAAAAAGAATACAAAGTGCATTTTCCTTATCACTCTGGGTAAAATTTTCTCCTGTATACTTTGTTAGTGCCAGCCTTGGCAGATCTCGGAAGAAGTAATTCCAATCTACCTACGTTAGTGTGGGTTCGCCACAAAGCAAACACCAGATTGAATGTGCAAAAAACTTACTCAGGGAAATGCCTAGGAAAGAAAATGTGGAGGTGGCGGGGAAGGCAGGGAGAGCCCTCAGACCTCAAGTGAAAGAGAGCAGGAAGGGAGGTTGGATGAAGTCGTCCTAGACTGAGCTTGGAAAGATTCGATACAGCCTTCAAAGGAGTCCCGCGTCTGCCAGACACAGACCTGCTGTGCTCATTCAAGGGCAGCGAGCAGCAAGTGCTGTCATGGACTTAGGAGGCAGCAGCTGCCATCCTTAGTCAATTACATTCCCGGCAGTTGGAGGCCTGCGCAGGCCATTCTCACAGCTGTCACACTGCCTGGTCCCTCACTTAATGCATGGCAGCATTGGTTGAGCCAATGTGGTTTTGATGATGTTTTTATTCCACTTCATTTCTCTGAGTACCAGTCCCACAGAAGATTCGAGATTACTCAAGTCACATTCACAGGGCAGGTACAATGTGCAAAGCCCAGATGGGTGGGATCCAAAGATGAATGTATAACTCTCTTTTGCCTCAAAAGTATATAGTTTAGTGTAGTGTAGTGTGTGTAAGGAGGGTTCTCATGCTGTGCAGAACTATCACATGTCAAATAGGCAAATCTGATATCCAAGAGCCTTTCTGCACCAGCACGTCATCCAGGCCCCCGTGGAAATGAGAGTATTTGTGTGGCACACTGGGATAAGCGGGAGGCTGCTCCTGGCCTGAGGTGGGGGCTCGGCTGCCCAAAAAGTTAAGGGAAGTCATCGTCTCAGCCCACCTGTAGTAATTTCTGCCACACCAGTTGGGAAGCTCTATTCCAGATGAGTTAACTCAACCATTTAGGTTTAGATGAATTAATCCAAAGTAAAGCACTTCCAACAGTGTCTGGCACACAGTTAACACTCAGGGAATATTCTCACTCAGGGAATGACACGCAGAGAATATTTTTACAGGAGTAAATTTAAATCTGCCTTAAGTGTGAATGCCTAGGGACCTCTAGTGTAGAGGGGTTTGGAATGCTCTGTGCCAGCCTTGGGCTAGTCTGCCCAAAAGGTTTTAGGGGTTCATCCATGTGGTGTCTGAAGACAAACAGAAATGCACCACCTGGTGCTTCTAGACCAGGTTCTTGGGCCTCTGCGTAGGTTTCATGAGTTGCTGCCACCAAATCTTATCTGAATCAATTCTACCCTGGGAAGAAGTTCCACCTACAGGTCAAGGTGATGTCAAACCATCTCCTGAATGCTGGTTGATTTGAGCCTTCTTAATTCTCCATTCCAGATGTATTGGAATAATTGCAACATTCACATTCATAAGTTCTGAGAAATTCAAGCAAGCCACCCACTGTAAATGCAATAGATTCAGTTCAGCCCAAAGAGTTGGTTGGTTAAGAGGTTCCTGGGACCAAAACCTACCGCCATTTCCAAGTCAGTCTTGTAGGACCTATAGAGGGCAGAGGAAGAGTTCCTGAGGTCTTCTTGGAAGCCCACATTGAGTCTGACCGACATTCTCAGGGTAACATCTGCTGAAAAAACCAGGGCAACATTTAAAAATCTCTGATTAGCATTTGAGTACACACAGGAAGAGAAACATTTTCTTGAGTTGACATCAAATAACTGTTCAACAAACATTGAATGAGCAGTTACTTACCTCCTCGGAGTTGGCAAAAAGGTCCCTTAGGAGGCAGTCCTTTAAGGCAACTGCAATGATTTCCTGCAGGCGAGCCGCCATGGTCTTGGCAGGTGAGATGGGGGAGGCAGCTTTCCTGAGGCCATCTATAGCCTGTCTCGCAGGAGCACCAGATTTCATTTCCAGCAGGTCTGCAAACTATCATCAACCAGAACAGTGAGGAGAGAGAAGGTAGTCACCACCTTTGCATTTATAAACTACAAATATTTATGCTTGTAGGAAATCCTAAGTTGACACCGTATTGCCCTTCTGGGAAGTTCACCAGTACTGCATGAGACGCCCATGATTCCCACATACATCACCACCTAGGTGACCATCTAAAAGAGCACGGCCATCTAAAAGGTGACAACTCTGACTATACCAGGGGATGCCTACAACAATAATGTGATAAACAGATTCCTGGACATAGAGGGTATGGTAGCCAGCCTCTAAGATGGCTCCTGACCATCCCTGGCTCTTGGTATTCACATACCTCTTTGTAGTTCCCTCTCGTATTGTACTAGGGTTGGTCTGTGTGACCAGAAGAATACAGCAGAAGTGATGGCACATCACTTCTGAGATTAGGTTATAAAAGACACTATGGCTTTCCTCTTGGTTGTTCTCTCCCTCTCATAGCTCACTCCGGGGGAAGCCAGCTGCTATCACATAAGGATATGTCATGGAGAGGCTCACAGGGTGAGTAACTGAAGTCTCCAGCCAATATCCAGTGAGGAACTGATAACAGCCAACAACCACATGAATGAGCTGGGAAGCAGATTTTCCAGCCCCAGTTGAACCTTCAGATGACGGCAGCTCTGGCTGACAGCTTGACTACAACTTGATGAGCAACTCTGAGCCAGAGCCACCCTGAGCTAAGCTCTGCCCAGATTTCAGGCCCTCAGAAACTGTGTGAAATAATAAATGTTGGCTGCTTTAAGATGCTAAGTTTTGGGGTAATTTGTTATGCAGCAGTAGATAACAAATTTAGAGTACAAATAAAATTGTGCCTTTTACAACAACCCACCAAATGGGAGAAATTATTTGCAAATCACATATCCAATAAGGGGTTAATCTCCATAATATATAAAAAACTCACACAAATGAACTACAAAAAAACAAACAATCCAATCAAAAAATGGGCAGAGGATATGAACAGACATTTTTCCAGAGAAGATATACAGGTGGCCAATAGGCACATGAAAAGATGCTCAACATCACTAACCATCAGGGAAATGCAAATCAAAACTACACTTAGATATCATCTTATGCCTGTTAGAATGGCTATAATCACCAAGACAAAAAACAACAAATGTTGGAGAGATTGCAGAGAAAAGGGAACCCTCATCCACTGCTGGTGGGAATGCAAACTGGTGCAGCCACTGTGGAAAACAGTATGGAGAGTTCTCAAAAAATTAAAAATAGAAATACCATATGGCCCAGCTATCCCACTACTGGGTATTTATCCAAAGAACTTGAAATCAGCAATACAAAGAAACTCATGCACCCCTTTGTTCATTGCAGCATTATTCACAATAGCCAAGACATGGAAGCAACCCAGGTGCCCACTGACTGATGATTGGATAAAGAAGATTTGGTATATATATACAACGGAATACTACTCATCCATAAAAAAAGACAAAATCGTCCCATTTACAACCATATGGATGGACCTTGAGGGCATTATGCTAGGTGAAATAAGCCAGACAGAGAAAGACAAATAGTGTATCATTTCACTCATATGTGGAATATAAACAAACTTACTGACAAAGAGAACAATTTAGTGGTTACCAAGGGGAAGGATGGTGGGGGGGGGGGCGCACACATTTGCTGTATGACAAATATTAATGTACAACTAAAATTTCACAATGTTATAAGCTATTATGACCATAATAAAAAAATTTTAGGGAAAGCCGATAGTAAAAATATATTTAGCAATATATAACAGCAACAAAAAAATTGTGCCTTTTACATTTCAAGTCAAATGCAAACAGCCCAAACAGGAACCGTTCCCACTGGGGACACTGGAAAATACTCTGAAAATGGAGTGCTTCGAGTTTATTTCTAAAACTGGACCAAAGTCCTATCACTGGGAGCTGCTTGTTCTGCACACGGGCACCCAGGCAAAGGCCCACAGAGCGACCATGCAAAGGAAGGCCATCAAATAACTGTGCCTGAAAGAGGAGGGAGAACCAAGTTCCAGTGAATCCTGGGACACTAATGCCGTCCTGTGCTCTAGCAGTAGGTGGAGGTTGAGCGCAAGTGTGAGGAACAGAGGAAATTAGGGATGCTCCTGAGGGTCGTGAACACCGGCTGGGGTAATTTGAAGGGAGCCAACAACACCCCCTTTGTCAAAATCTGTTTCCTACTACCCTGAAATCCCACTGCTAAGGCAATTTTTGTTTTTTGTTTTGTTTCAGTTTGTCTATTTGTTTTTGAGAGGATATGGGGGGAAGAACTTTTGACTCCCATGTAAAATACAGACGTACCTTAGGAGTAACGGCAAAAGCTATTACCTCCAGACCACCTACCACACTCCAGGCATTGTTTAGTGCTTTACACACATTGTCTGGCCTTAAAAATCCTTAGTTTTGTTCACTATTATTAAAAATATCTTTCTTGAAAGGATCCTAGGTAAGCTGCTAGAAGAGGCGGCAGGAGCAAACATGGGAAGAGGGGAGTGGTGAAAATTTGGGGGTGCTTAGACATTAGTAACAAGGTCAGTAAGTCTGACCTTCATTACCCACCCATCCCATCCACTCCTCTCTGAGGTTAACTCTCCCCAGCCGTCCTGCTGGTCCTGAGAGCCAAGAGTCTCGGTTTCTCTCAGTTAGCTATCAGCAAGCGTTCACCCTCTACGTGGGAATGACCAGTCTTGCTGCCGGAATAAATTAAACTTTCCAAGGGTATTTGCATCTTAGAAGAGAAACTGGTTAACCCAAGTTGTAAATTGGTCAACCCAACTTGTAAATTTGTGTTAGCAAGTTTCTAAAATGGGATAAATAGTGGAGCCCCTTGAAGTGATGCCATCTCTGGTAGAACAGAATAAACCAGAGTTTGCTAATACATCTATATTGAGTGTACATAACATAAACTCACAACTAAGGCTCAAGTATCCACAATCACAAGCTGTTTAGCAAAAACAAATGACGTATTTATTTGATATTTATTGGTCCATTTTGTTTGCTAGATTTGGTTTCTTACACCCAAATAGACATCAAAGGTTTCCATTAAAAAAAGGGCATTGTGGTAAAGTACACATAACATAAAATTTAAAAAAAAATTGGAAAGCACAACAAAATTGACTAAAAATCTATCAAATAATTAATTTTCCCCATAAGTAGGGGAAATAATTTTAGAGGCAGAAGATCTGTGCCAAGTGGGAACATAGAAGGGTGTTTCCGATGTACACTGGTTTTGTGAGACGTTCTATGGAAAAGAGTCCTGTGTGCAAATACGTGTGAGGAACACAATAAAACTTCCCACTGCTGGCGGACTCGCCGTGCCTACTGGCATCCTGTCAGAGAACCACTAACTTAAGGAAATTAATGTCAAGGTAGAATCTGGTGGGAAGTGGCATCCAAAGGGAGCTATAAGGCAGCTATTTCAGGCTCAAGTAGCATATATTGAGAATCAAAAATTAAGAGGCATAGACTGATACTGTGATAGACTGTTTGAAACATGAGAATTCAAAAATATTTTGAAAAACAGGAATTTTATTCTTACCTCCATTTTAGAATCATAAAACTCAATTCTGTTAGTGTTTTGCAATTTTTACAAAGTAGCAACCTCTTTTAGGACAAAGGACGGTCCCATCTCATAGTTTCTCAGGTGACGGTCCCTGAGAAATAGGAGTGCTAGCATGACCTTTACAGAGAGTCAGTGACCAGAAAGATCAATCCCCTAGCTTGGGAGTTTCTGGTTCATGCCTTGCTTCTGACCTGGGCATGTACTTGGTTCCTATTTCCTGACCTATGCTGTCAAAAAGAAGGGAACTTTCTCCTTATTAATATCCTCAACCAGTCCTTGCTATCTATATCCATTGATTGCCCAGGGGAAGAGGACCCAGTAGTTTGTCATGAAGGACCTGGCAATATGTTAGGACCACTTTGTGACAACCACACACAAACAACGAAGCAAACATTGGGCCACATTTCAATTAAAGAAACTGGCTGCAGAGTTTGCCAATAGGGGCTTCTTTCTGGAAGGCTGTGAAGTCATAAAACGGCACATCAGGCCTGTTGAGTCATTTCACTTGCCTACTAAGTATAATCTGCTCTGATGGTCAGGAGCTCAGCCAGCCTTTCTCCTGCTCTGCCCCATCTTCATTCTAAAGCTGTTTTACTTTCTTTTTTTAACTCACCTGTTGTCACCTCTATGCTCAAAATGTTGATGACTTGGTCAGTGCTGTTCACTTGGATTGGAAAACTGAGGCTGTTCAAGTGAGCTTTGATAGGCTCCAGGAAGGAGGCATTTTCAAAACTGATCTCAATATCAACAGTGTGCTCATCCACTGCAGGACTGCTCGAGGCAACTGGAATGGAAGCACAGGAAGGTTGTGAGATCTTCCCATGGGTGACGGAGAGAGAACAGGACGGACATTTCATCATTTAAGGGTAATGACAGGAACAGGTGGATGCTGGACACGCCAGCCTTTAAAAACTTCTAATGAACCTTTTTACAGAAAAAGAAGAGTTTATCCACTCACCTCCACCAAGACCCCGCTGATGGTGCTGCTTCTTTTTGACTTTACTATTTAAACGAGGAAGGCTATCTGTCTGTCTGGTCCCAGTGCAGTGGTCTCTGGTCATCTGAGTGAGTCACAGGCTAAGCTCAGGACTTGTCCTTCCTCTCCATTACCACACCCCCCTTAGTGTCCAAGGCCAAGGACTGGTGTGTGGAGAACAGACTGTAAGGGGCAAGCAGAGAAGCAGAGAGACCCAGCAGGGAGCCCTTGGCAACAGTCTAGACGATAAACGCTACAGTCCCAACTCACAGGAATGAATCAGTGCGTTGCCAACACCATTCTATTGACATGCAGGTATTTTGAGAGTGGCATTGTGCCTGGCCTGAAGACTTCTGGGAAAAATCATCCAGTTAATTCCCTTGGCTCCAAGCCTATGCCCTCAGCCTGGGCTCTGTGTATCTCCGTATCGTCAGTGTCCAGAACATGATAGGCACTCAACAAAAGCAAAATTGGCAAATTGGAAAGAAAATAAAATATATCTTCAGTCCTACATTGCTTTTCCAAATTCTCTTCAAGCTGGATGACCAGCAGGCATTCCAGATGCATCTACTCCTCCACACATCCCCACTGCAGGCAAGCCAGACAATATATATTGGAACGTTCATTCACAGTTTCCTGTATTACATTGTCTGGTCCACACGTGTGAGCTTCTCAAGGGCAGGAACTTTCTTTCACTTCTCATGGCCTTCCTCCATCTGGCACAGAGCTCACCACATAATAAATATGTGCCCAAGAACACTCGTTCAACCTGTGACTCTCTGACTTGAGTCACAGATTTACCTCTGTGTCACTGCGAGAATCTTTGGCTCATTGTTGGCTGAAATATATAACTGGACCAGAAGCCATGGGCAGGGTTAGTCACTAATGGAGAAGCTTCAAAGAATAGGAGAAATTTTACACAGATATGTTGAAAAGACAAGTTGTGGCTTATTTTAATTTGTCAGTAAAATAAGAAAAAGATTAGTGAATATCTGCAAAACTATCACTTTAAAATTTAAGTCAAACCCGAAAGTATGGTGTATATTTTACCATAAAACTGAAATTCTGTCTGTTTTCTAAAAGGGCAAAGAATTTTCCCATAATACTGCAAGGTTTGTTTTATTTTTCCCAAGGAATATTGACGTGAAGCACTAAAATAGAGTAAATTTCTTATGGGAAACTCCAATTGATAAATAAACTTGCAGAAGCCTATCGTACCTGTTCACTTAGCGTTGTAAACTATGTCTGTCTTAGAAGGATGGTTTAACTCATCAACCTTGTTGAGAATTATTTCGTTTGGGCATCGCTAAACTTGTAATTAACTCAAACTATTAAAAAAAGTCCTTGCAGATTTCCTTAAAATTAAGAATTTATTTTAAGATACATCTCTTCCTTATTAAAATGTATTTACAAGTAGAACAAAGTGACTAAAGCCCAGTGCGGAATCACAGTCTGTCCTGATGCCTTGGGGTTGCCTCAAATTTCCTGTTTTCTTTCCGACTCTCAGATGTTAAGTGATGAAAACAATCTTCCTGGAAGAAATGCTAATCTTCTTTTATGTGACCCTAACTCTAGACACAGCATGTTGCCTGCTGGGAGCATTGGCAAGGACGGTGGCTACATGATATTTACAAGCTTTTCCTTAGAGCACATTCTTTTTCCTGAAAAGTAATGCAGCAATCTTACACTCTCCAGAGGATTCGCTAGCTCCAGGATCCTTTTTGCCATAGTCGGTCTACTCTCCTCCCATGAATGTAAACAGGATTTCCTGGACGGTAGCTGCTTTTGAGATGAGTGAGGTCAATAACAATCCCATATCACCCACTTCATCATCTGCATTGTTGCATCCCAGGGTCTGGCCCTAGCCTAACGTCAATGCTGCTTGAGGGCTGTTTGTAACGTCCAGCCCTGAGCCCACCCTGGTGCTCTTTTCAGACATAATTGTAGAAGAAGGATGTGCCTAGCAAGCACTTGGCAATTCACAGATGTCGTCATTACTCACGAAAACCAAGGCAGTTCTTTCACTGAGATCTTACAAGGAGCTGAGCCAAAAGCTTAAAATACAGAGAGGAAAGTTCCGGTGGCTTTGGTGAGTTCCTGTTTAATGGATTTGTGCAACTGTTAATTAAAGCACCAGCCTCTAAGATCCTCTTTCTCTCACCCACTGTTTATATTCTTCAACAATTTCTAAAGGAGTTTCAGAATAACTGTCTGCCTGAACGCCAATTCTCCCTAGAGACCGATAAGGACAAGGAACATCTGACGGAGAAGGAAATGTCTTCTTCATGAAAATAGTGAATTCGTCAAAACAGGCTCAAAAACACCATAGTAACTTAGAAGGCTCCGGGTGGGCCCTTGGAAATCATCTAGTCCAGTGGTCCCCACGCTTGACTGATGATTATATACACCTAGGGAATTCTACACACACAGATATTTTTGTGCCTCAACTCAGGTGAGCCGAAGTGGCATCTTTATGGGTTAGGCCAGAAATCTGTATTTTTTTGATTCCCACTGGTGATTCTGGTGCTCAAGCAGGTCTGGGGTCTAATGTTCTAATCCAAATGAGGAAACAGAGAAGGTAAACCTGGAGAGCGAATATTAGTACCTAACTTGACCTTTTTTATTGGTTTTGCACTATTTCTTGTTTCAGACCCTCCTGCTGCTGCTCCTGGGACAAAGTCAGGCAGTTTCCAAGCATCCTTGCTCACCACCTTCTTCAGTGATACTGGATGGATCAAAGGTGATCATAATAAAAGTAGTAATAATAATAGCAGCTGCGGTTTATCCATTGCCTGGTGGGTCCTAGGGCCATGAGGACAGTATGCATACAACCATTTTGCAGATGACAACACTGAGGTTTAAATGATTGAAGCCACACATAGTAAATGTTAGATATTAGCAAATATTAGAGCTGGGATTTGAAACCCCATTTTTCTGACTTCAAAGACCATTTTCTTTCAACCATACCCTACTACAACTCAAATGGAAGAAGATAATGAAGGTGACCACTTTGTAAGCCTCAGAGTACTGTAAAAAGTATATGGTACTATTGTTAAATGTATCTTTAGTATTCGATGTGTAACTCTTAAAGCAAATTTTAAAATAAAATCAAATACAAAGGTGAAATTGTCAATAATAAATGGAACAATTATCTAAAACTGTGTTCACTTTGATCCAGCATAATAAATATCTCAAAAATTCACAGTGAGGAAAAATGCATTGCATTGTGACCCATTGCCATTGAAACTCATGGGTTTTGACATTAAGTCTTGCTAGGTTTATTTGTTTGTTCCTTGATTTATCTGTTTATAGGTAACTTAACTATTTATTGAATGCCTCCTTCCCAGGCACTCTGCTGAGTGCTGGGGACACAGGGTAAATAAAAGCAGTAAAGCTCTATCTTTGTGGATCTTCCATGCTCGTGCAGGAGGTGAACAGTAAGGTCAAACTTCAATGTCAGGTGGTTCTAAAGGGCGTAGAGAAAAATAAAGCAGGGCAAAGAAGCAGACTGGCAGGCAGAATGTGTGTGGAGGGGTATTTTTGTAGAATGATCATAAAAGACCTTGCTAATGCATTAAATGTTGGGCAAAGACGTGAAAGAAGTAAGGGCATGACCACGCAGATATCCGGGGAAGATCACTCCAGGAAGAGAAAACAGCATGAAAGCCCAGAGACAGCATCTTCCACGGCTTCCTTGCGAATAGCAAGAAAATGCCCCTCCCGATTGGGGTCATCCTTCTCATCTAGAGTATCATGGTCCTACGGGCAAGGAGAACATGGAACCACCGCTGGGCCTTCGGTCCCTGTAATGCCCCAGGGTGAGCGTCTGAGGTTGAAAGAGCTAGCCTAGATGTTCAGCTGTCAGCATGGCCTGCATATGGTTGGGATCAGAGGCCCACTCTGCTCACAGGCCTCAGACAGGTTTCGGGTAGAAATGCCAAACCCTGTCCACCTCGTCTCTCCCAAACTTGAGGCCTTGAGAGCTTGGGAAAGTGATGCTGCCTGTCCCACCCCAGGCTACAAGGGACCCCGGAGGAACAGAGGGCTGGTCCCCCACCTCTGTGTGAGGGTGGATTTAGAGGCCTTCCATGCTCCTCTGGTGTGTCTGGGCCATCTGATTCCAGACAGTTTAATGTGTTTTCTTTTCCTCAGGCTCCTTCACCCTGGTGTTTTTGTCTGAATTTTTGTGACTCACTGATGCCCTGAGTGGAAGGTAGCACATTCCAAGTGTCATCAGTGTCACAGATGGAGGCCTATCGGGAGGCACAGCAGACACAAACCAACAAGGATTTCCCCTCTCCTTTCCCATAAATCACTGCCCGCCACACAGCACTTATCTCGGAGAGACATTTCTGGAAAGTTGGCCACAAACTGTGACAAGCAGTTCTGGGTCTTAATCACAGCTGTTTAAGCAAACAATACTATTTTTGCCTGGCAACTCTAATGGGAATTATGGCTTCTCCAAAGTCACAGGCTGAGTAGAGGCATAAATTAATCTCACACCTACAAAAGCATGAAGCCTGCTGACCCCGAAGAAATGAGGTAAGTGTGGTATTCTCTTGACCGGAGGGAAAGATGCTTCTGTATCACCGAAAATTTGGCTCTCTTCTTTCTCCCTCTTAGTCCTGTAGCAGGTAAATATTAAAAGTTGCCTGTTCTTCTGCTTGTTTCTTGATATGCTCTAGTAGGCAGCAATTTGGCAGCCTCATCTCCATCCTATTGTGTCATTGTCAGCAGATAGTCAAAGGATCTCGTTCTCCCTTTAGGTTTAGAAAGGTTTGTTCACATGAGGGAAAACCGCCAGAGCCCCAGGCTATGGCTTACCTGGCACGTGTGTGTTACCTGGCACAGGTTTGGTTGGAAGAGAGGGTGGGCAGCACTGTGTCACAAAACACTGGACTGTGAAGTCTGGAGAAAAGAGTCAACTCTACTAGCTTGTCATATACCCAAATCATCAAAGTCTGCCCCATACGAAATTCTTCTCCTAGTAAGAGGAAGAGAGTGGTGCAGGCTCCTTACTCTACAAAGCTGCTTTCAGAATCACGGAATGGACTCTCACAGGCAAGAGCCAGAAACACATGTTGAAAACCCTAACTCTTGACCATGAGCATGGACTTTGGAGAAAGAGGGAGCTGGGGTGGTCTGCCTTCTCACCTGGGTGGGCCATGCCACCTCTGTGAGCCATACTTTGCTCATCTGTAAATTAGGGATGATATTTTTTCTGCAGAATTGTTAAAGAGTTTGGATACCGTATGAAGACCCCCCCTAGCAAATTGTCTGGCATATCGTAGCCATTCTGAAATAGCAGGTAGAAATAATAACATTGATTATAATAAACGTAACGATTATATTCTATGCAGAGGTCTGCTGGTAGGTCAAGAAAAACTAATACATTTCCAATCAGGTCTCACCTTTGAGATAGCTAAACAAACAAACAACACTAATCAGAAATTAAAAGAAAAAAGCATTTCCAATATTGAAGGTCGACTCTAAAACCAAACCCACACATCAGGTCGAGAGCTCCCAGCCTTCCATCTTACTCTGCCACCACCACCAGCTGCTCAGAGCACTAAAAGCCACATGTTATCACAAGAAAGATTAAAGCCATGAAAACCCTAAAATCTGTTCCTCGATCTGGAAAATGCACAACAATTTCTGGGCCCAGATCAAAAAGGGCCAGCACAGCAGGGCTGCCAGGTCTGCAGAAAGGTCAGGATTTCCACACAGGCAGCCAGCAATCCAATCCGGTAGGAGCCTCGCTCTCACTCAATAGGTGTGAAAAAGTCAGCACCTCCAGTGCAGGGTTAGGACATCTTGGATCTCCCTTTCTCAAAAAACTATCTCCTACCAGCCATTTCTTTTGAACCCAAAGAAGAACCAGTGGGGATTCTTCAGCTGAGGGTCCAAGACACATTCCCAATCAAGCTCAGAAACCTGGCGTGGAGGATTTCACCAATTGACAGCAAGGACACATTTGTGTTACTTCTAACCAGTAAGAAATTTCCACTTTCAGTCCCCTATGAAGATCACCCTTATGATTAAATTTTGAGCTTATTGGCAAATCTACAAGATTTTCATTTCAAGCCCGGTTTCTACTTGTGGTCTCCACATGCCTCAGTCACCCAGGTTTGCACGCTCCTGGAGTGTCACATGGACCATTCCTCCTCTTCACCCCCGGGTCAACTCTGTCTCCAAGCCCTTTTGATCCAGTTCTCAAAATGTCTTTCACAATATTCCCTTTGCTCCTTTCCCGTCTCACTCCCAGGGCCAGGGCCAATGATGGTCCACACTGCTGAGCATCCTCGTGGTCTCCTGGCACTGCCTTCGTCATCTAACTCATTCAGCCATAACCATCTGGCTGGTTTTCACTTTAGATGGCTTCCATCAGTCCCTTCTCTGTGCCAGCCCCTCAGCTGGTCTAGAATCCACTTCCCGGTATAATCAGGACGTAATTCTTGATGCTTTGACCCATTGTTATTTCCCTCTGCTCCCCAACAGCCACTCTGCTGGCACAGCCACACTTACTCTTGCCTCTGGCCTCTGGGTTTGTGCAGGCTGCTCTTCCCCAGCAGAGTTTTGAAATCGTTTTCCTAAAATGCTAACTCCTGTATCATGGCACCCATCCTCCTGCCTTCAGTAGTTACACAGGATCTTCTCTGTACCGGGAATATTTCAGGCTCTTTCAAATGCAATATTATTTGTATAAATAAGTCAATTGACTTTGTTTTTAATTTAAAAAATGTTAAAACAAAACAAACAAAAAACAAATAGACCCCTAGATAAACCTTTTAATGTTTTTAAAACTAATATGTACATAATATTATCTAATTCTCTCAACAAACCTGTAAAGTAATAACATATCTATATTTGCATGTGTATATATATGTGTGTGTGTGCTTGTGTGTGTGATATATATGAGATTAGAGAGAGAGAGAGAGAGAGAGATCTCAAGGGGCCAGTGAAGTCGTATAACTGACCAAAGTGACTTAGGGAGACATCCATAGTGCTCTGAGAATAGATACGAGTATAGATCCTACCTTTAAAGATGCTTCTGTCCCAAACCCTAAAGATTTGGTCTAGTGCCTCAAAAGGAAATTCCTTCTGGGAATTCTCCTTCTCTTGGAACCTTTGCTTGTCCCTTTCTGCCATTAAGGCTCCAGAAAGGGGGAGGTGTGTATGAGTGAAGGGGAATCCCACTCTGACAGTCAGAGCCTCATCCTACGTCCTTACTTAATTAACACACCGAGCAGAACCCAGACACCTCCGTGCGGCCTCTGCTGAATGTGATCCTCCCGTTGCTATCGTTCATGGATTTCCTGGAGAATAATGCTCTTGACTACAGCCGACATTCCGGGTGTCTCCAGCCTGGTGCCCAGGCCTTTCCATGACCACATCTTACTTCAGTGATTTTGTAAAAGTACCAAAGCCAATCCATCTTCTGCAGATGATGGGTTGAGTCATTAACACTTCCAAAATGACTCTTGAGGCCCAAGAGCACAGAGGACCATGGATAATAAACGGAAAACATGTTTTCACGGTGATTTATCATTGTCAGGATTGTTTTTAATGAAAGCATGCCTGGAAAAATTTTGGAATGTCAAATCCTTCTACAGAAGTGGTTCCCTCCCCAAGGGCTAACCTCTCACGATGTCACCATGGGTCATTAACAGCTGGGCTCAGAAGAGCAGGAAGATGTTCCTTTTACAGCTGTACGGTCACTGACTGCCCTGAGCAAGCTGGCAGCCTGAACCCTAGAAGCAGCTGGCAGAAATCTGAATCTAGAACTCCCCTGCAAATAATTTGATTTTAAAAAGAAAAGTCTTTCAAAATACCAAATGGGGACGTCTCCGAGCCTGATTTCTGTCACAGGTGCGGAAGGTTCAAGGGTTATAGGGATGGGGCAGAGGCAACGACACTTGCTTTAAAGCACAGATAGAGCAGACTGTGCTAGAGGCCACTTCAGGGAAGGAAGGCAGAAAGCGGGAGTGAGGCTGCCAGGGAGACATATAACAAGGCGGAAACAGAAAGGAATGGGAAGAAAGGGAAGAGAAAACGATCAGTGCTATGACCTTCCAATGAGCACTTCCAGAGCTGCATAAAATGCACAGGGCAACAGCTGGGTCTGGTTGCTGCCAGAGGGGCTCTCGCAGACACCTCTATCCTGACCACAGGGCAAGCCCACTCTCCTTGGAGCCTAGGGTCTCTTTCAGACCACACAACTGAATGGCCCAAGTCACAGGATCACTGGAAAATGACTCGATCGCAATGATCTAGGTTAAGAAGTTTTACCTTCTACACAGCTGGTATAGCCACCAGGCCAGCAGACTCTTGGCCATAGGAATGTATTCTCTGAACCCGCAAAGGGGCAGCCATGACAGAGATGGCACTCTCTTCATTTGTTCACCCATCTATTGAGAAACCAGGCTACAGAGATGAAGAGAGTTCAGGGGACCTCATGTCTACTGGGGATGGCAAACAGGAAGCGAAGTAATTGCAATGCACTGGGACAGAGGTGCTACGAGAAAGTAGGAAGGACAATGGGAACCCAGAAAAGCAGCCCCTCCCTGTCTTACAGGAAAGATGGAAAGCCTTACAGGGCAGGAACCTACGGAAACTGAGGCTTAAGTCAGAGTCACCAAGCAAGCAAAGGGGGATGGTGGGTGGGGCACAGACTATGCGAAAGAGAACAGAAGGAGAGCAAGTGGGAAGAGCATGTAAGATCCAATAAGACTTGAGCAGGTGGCTGGATTTTATCTCCAAGGCAACTGGGAGCCATGATGGACTTTACACAGGGAAATAACAGAATCAGATTGATGCTTTTGAAAGGTTGCTGTGAGGGAAGTTGGAGGGTCTGGTCCTGGGAGAATCCAGCCTGCAGACGCACACCGACATCTGCCCAGGGTCCCGCATGTGGGACAGGACACCGAGGCTCTGTGTGCGAGTGTTCTCAGCTCACACCTGCCCGCAGCCTTCCACAGAGCAGAGCCCTGTATTTCCCAGACCACTTCTTTGGAATTTAGTGGGAAAATTGGAATGGGAGACAGAGGAGAAGGACTCGAGTCTAATGGTTAAGTTGATCCACAAAATAAAGCGCTGAGTGAGAAGTGAGAGGATATTGAAAAAAAAAGGCTGCTGGGTGGAGGGTGGAGAGAAAGGTCTTTTGGTGGTGGGGGAGGGCAGCTAATGGGACAGCCCCCGGGAAATCTTCAGGATGTGAGGAGGGGGAGGAGAGGGGAGCTGTAATGTGTTGCTAAGATCCCTTTGATGTCATCTGCTGGTGCAGAGAATGGAGTTCCTTTGTAACTACTTCTAGAAACTGATCCCTGATATGCTTGAAGACCGAATTACGTGGATCGCAGTGTTTTGCAAAGTTACAGCAATTGTCACTTTTGACTTACAGGAAGAGATTGCCAAGCAGAGCTTGCCTACCTGCTCGTTTATGCCGTGGTGGCTCCTCCCCTGCTGGTTCGTGTCCACGGAGAATCTGAAGGGACATTTTAGAAAACTGTCAGTTAGTCTTAGAGCCATCCTCTCGGCACGGCTGTCTGCTCTTGCGCCTCGAAGTCTAGAGCTGAGCTTAGGGCTGCAGATGCTGGGTCAGCACCTCGTGCCCCCTGGATGCCTGGCAAACAGCAAAGGGTCGGGAAGATGAAATGGTGCCGCCTCGGCGGTGTGAGCTGGGAATCCACTTTTCACGGACAGTCTCTGGATCAAGAGCGGAAGAAATGACCATATCCGAGGGTCTCAGAGTTCCTGCAGTATGTGACCTGTCAGGAAATATAACTTATGGTGTTCTCAACTTGTGTTCTCTGCCCAGGACTTGAGCCCTGAGTCATTCCAGTGACCTTTTAGACGAGTCTCACGACCTCTTCTCAGCACTCAGCCTGTCCCCTCCCTAGAATTTCTGTGGCATTAGGGCTGTTTCAATTGTGCGCGCTTAGAAATGATTTTCTCCTGCTCTGGTCCTTTTTCTCCCAGATGGTTCTATTGTTGCTTTCTGTCGCAGGGGTTCAGAAAGCCAGCTCCAGAGTCGGCCGGCCTGGGTACAAGGCTGTGCCACTTACTAGCTTTGTGACCTTGGGGAGTTACTCATCCTCTCTGAGCCTCAGTTTCCTTTTCTGTACAATGGAATAATGATAGTACTGATCTCGCAGAATTGCTATGAGAATTAAGGGAACTGCAAGGTGGCACACAGTAGCCCTTAATAAACTTTAGTTACATCGTATAGTGCAAGGGTTAAGGGCAAGGACGCTGCAGACTTTGAGTTCAAATCCCAGATCTGCTAGAAAACGGCTGTGTGACCTTGGACAAGTTATTTAATCTCTCTGTGCCTCAGTACTCCCCTATAATACAATATAGAGATCAAAATAGCCTACCTATGAAGTTGTGAGGACCAGATGATTAATAAATATAAAGCACTGAGAATAGCGTTGGTGGCAGGAACGGGGCATCACGCTGTCCTGGGGGCGCCGTTCACACGGACCCCTCTGTCGGCCTACTGCCACTTGCTTCTTCTCGATGCAGCTCATCTCCTGTCATCCTATGGCTTCTTTGTTTAAGAACTGACATTGGCTGGCTTTGCCGTCAGGCTCACTGCCAGCTCTGCCGTAGGTAAGCTCGACCTGACGCGGGTTCCTGGCTCATCCTGCCTCCAGGTGGCTTCCCCGTCACGTGCTTCTCATTCCAAATCCCACTGAGGCTCAGCAGAGGGGCTCCACCTTTCTCAAGTCTCCCCAGGTAACCCCTGTCCTCCGGGGCGTGTCCTTTACCATGAACTCCACACACCTGTGAACACCACCCAAGGCAGTGCTCATTCTGCCATCTTTGGGATCTACCATTATTTTCTAGTTATCTCACATCATAATGATAACAAAAATAATAATTCCTAAGATGTGCTCAACACCCCGTGCCAGGCACTGTTAAGCGCTGGACGTGTACTTACTTACTTAATTCTCATGATAATCTAAGATGTAGATATTGTTTATCCACATTTCACTGATGAGAAAACACAGGCACAGAGAGGTCAAATAACTTGCCTAAGGTCACACAGCCTTTAAACAGCAGAGCCAGGACTTGAACCCAGCCAGCCTGGCTCCAGAGTCTGCACTTGCCCACACAGGCATTGCATCCTCTTATCAAGAGACACCCCTGAAAACTGTGAGTTTGTCTCAGTGACCCAATCTTTCTTCCCTAGCACTTTTTCTCTTTCTTTCTTTATTACCTCCTCCTATCTCCTCCTTCTTTTCCATGACCAATACTAATGCCTGTAGGAACTGGAGAGAGATATGTACCTGATAGTTCATAAATGTTCCTAAAGAAATGCCTAGAGGAGTGACGGATGATGATTGGAATGTCAAAAGCCCAGTTGCAGCTTCTTTTGCAGTGAGGTTATTTTAGCTGAACCAAAATGTGCAGGAACCAAGAAGGAACGGTCGACGCACAGGTCTGGTTCCTGCCCGGCTTCCCCTGGAGCCTGCTTTGGCTCTGTGCCCAGGCAGAAGGAAGGCACATCCCCGCCTCCATCCTCCCTCGGGCCTGTGGATGGGGAGGGGGCCCATCAGGAAGCTTTCTCTGTCCACTCTTCATGTGCCGCCTCTCTGTTATCTAGTGAGGATTCACAGCATTTTGTAAGAACAGCCTACTTCTTATTTTGAGCTCTGTAATCACTGGGGGAAATGGAGGAAAACTACATGGAAAGCAATAAAGCCTCTGATGAGTTCCCTGGTGGTGGGAGTGGGGTGGGGGTGAAGACCCTTGGCCCTCCCAGATTTGAGAGGATGCAAAGAGCTGCACTGCCAACTCATGGGGCCTGGATTTCAATAAGGCAAATTCTGGCGTCACACTGGGGATTGAATCCCCTTGCCTCTGCTTCTTCCAAGTGGGAGAAGTCATTCACTCATGCTAAGCATAAGTTTCTTACATTATGAAAAACAACGTGCCGAGGCACACCGATGCTGGTACCATCTCTGGCAGTGGTGTATGCCCGAGCATCCAGCTGGCTGGGGGCTCCCCAGGAGCCAGGCTTGCCCTCCAGACTCCTCAGGTCACTCCAGTTTGGGGAACTGAGACTCCAGCACTTGACTTCTCTCTTATACTCTGAGTGCTGAGGAGAATTCATAGGGGAGCATAGATCCCGCCAGGGGCCCCCAGCGCTCAGCTGAGCATTTGCTTCAGAGAAGACAACAAAGCCTCCAGTGGGCCTCCCACTGCTGGTCCATATAGAGGGACCCAGATGCATGTCTGAGCGACAATGGCCAGCTCCCTTCAGAGGGGATTTCCTGATGGCCAAGCTTTAGGCGGAAGACACAAGGTCACCAGTTCCAGGAAATGCCCCACCTGTTGGACATGATGATTTTACAAATCATTATGGGTATGGGGTGTGGCCTGGACAGGGACAATCAGTCAGGAATGAGAGGTGGCACTTTACGTGTAGAGAAGAAAATCCCTAGGGAACAGGATGACAAACAAGTTGGTCCCCAAAGACCTCAGCTGTCACCAGCTCTCACCCGTCCTCACCAAGACCCTGCCACTTACTCCTCTTTGTTTTGACCTGGAATCCCCAATTTAACCGATTTGCCTCCATGTTTCACCATGGTCTCAGCAAGAGTCCTGTTGGAATACTTCCTCACATAGGCGTATTAGCACAGGTCTATTTGTACTAGAATAGTAAAAATAACAACTAAATCTTAAGTACTTGCTCTGGGCTAGTCACTGTGCCAAGGCACACATGTACGAGAACGTGACTAAGTTTCCAAAGCTTGTGAGGGTCAGAGCCGGGCTTCAGACTCAGGGCTGGTGCCAAAGTTGAGAGTCTACCGCCTTCTGCTCAAAGTGTGGTTGTTGGAACAGAGACAAGAGCAACTTGTCAGAAACGCAACATCCAGGGCCCCGCCCCAGACTTCCTGAGTTGAAATCTGCATTTTCAGAGGGTCTCTAGGTGGATTTATGTGCACACTGAAGTTTGAGAAGCTACGGCATCACACTTCAAAAGCCCATCACCCCGTATTTGTACAATTCTGTTCACAGCAGCCGTGTTTGCAATAGCCAAGAGGGGAAGGCAGCCCAAGTGTCCAGCGATGGGCGAATGGATAAAACAAATGTGGGATATACGTACAATGGATGATTATTCAGTCTTAAGAAAGGAAGGAAATTCTGACGCATACGACAAGATGGATAAGTTTTTAGGACATTATGCTAAGCGAAATAAGCCCGTCAAGAGAAGACGAATGCTGTATGATTCCACTTATATGAGATACTTCAAGTAGTCAAATTCATAGAGACAGAGAGTCGAGTGGTGGTCGCCAGGAGCTGGGGAGAAGGGGAACAAGGAATTGTTGCTTCATAGGGTTAGATTTTCAGTTTTGTAAGATGAAAAAGTTCTGCAGGTTGGTTGCACAACGATGTGAATATATTTAACACTCCTGAACTGTACCCTGAAAAATGGTTAAGATGGTAAATTTTATGGGTATTTACCACAAATTTTTTTAAAAAGCTCATCACCACGTGTTGCGTGTAAAATGGTAGAAGGTCCACGTGGAGCCGAGTGGCAGCTGGGGGAGGTAGACGCCGTTGAGGCAAGCTTGAAAGCACCTCTCCAACGGGGGCTTAGGCCTTTGGGAAGCTATTGTGTACAATAGATCTGGGAAGCTATTGTATCCTGAAGGTTGATCTAAGGAGGAAAAGGGGGCCTCCTTGCAGGGAGGTGGGGTGGGAGCTCCCAGGAAGATGAAGTTTAAATTCCATTGGCAGCCCTGGGAGGTCACTGGCTTGTCCGCTGACCGGTCTGTGCCACCAGGCAGATGTGGGGGCTTTGTTAGGGCCACAGCGATGAGGGCCGACCTGGCACACTCTGGGGGCACTGCTGCAGCCATGAACATGAGGACACCCTGGAACAGAGGGAAAGCCACCCCCCTTGCTGAGACCCCCTCACGCTCTGGTTTTCTCCCTCATGCTAGGGTGACCAGAGTTCTGCAAGGACCATGGCTCCGCAGGAACGGCATATGTCTCCCGCGTATATTTCTACAAGCAACCTGCTGCGTGTGACTGCACGGGTTGCACCCTGCACACTGGAGTCTGGAAGAAGAGACACACAGAATCTACCTCCCAACTCGGGAGAGAAATAAAGGAAAAGACAAAGAAAACCCGGGTCAAACAAGGAAAGACACACAAACAGAAAGGAAGAAGGAAGTGCATGAAGTCAGCAAACAAAATCCTGGATGTAAGATCCAGCATTATAAATACGACATTAAATGTGAATAAATTATACTCCCCTAATCAAAGTCACATGTACTCAGATGATTTAAAAGAAAAAATAAAAACCTCAAACACGTATCATTTATAAGAGAACCATGAAAGTAGACTGATATATTAAAGGCTAAACAAAAAATAAAGGACAAAAATGAGGCAAAGCACAAATACAAAATCAGGATTGACACTGGAATAGGAGACAAAGAGTTAAAATGAAAAAGTACCAAGCGGGGCAAAAAGAGACATTGTACAATGCTAAAATCTACCAACGAAGCTCTAACAATAGCGATAGACTACAAAAAGGAGCACTAAAATTTCTTTTAAAAAAGTCAGTAGAAAAAACTACCATTACAGTAGGAGAAATAATAACAGCAAACAGTGACATAGCATTTATGACATGCCTGGCACTGGTCTAAGGCCTGTTATAAACATTAACTAATTTAATTCTCGTAGCCGTCCTAGGACATCAGTACTATTATTGTCATTGTGTTACAGATGAGGAAACTGAGACAGAGAGAGAATTACATCTGTCTCCCAAGATTTCATAACCAGTATCACACCCTGTCTCTGGCGCATGGAGTAATCTAAGGGAGGAAGATCCCAATAGTTTTCATAAAGCTTAAGGAGGAGCATTGTATCCCTTAAGTTAAGCTCCACTCCCATTATCTTCCCAAAGGCAAAATGACCTGGATAATTTGTCAGGCAACAGCTCAGATGCTATCTATGGCCCCTACAGCTATATCAATCTGTGATGGTGACACACACACAGATTAATGTCTTTTGAAATGTGTTCTAGTCTGATGCTCAAGTTAAAATGAATCCTTTGGGAACATATGTCCTTCTCAGTCCTCAAAATCTGCCCTATAGTCGTTGCCGTCAGTTTCAGAGTGGAGCTTCAGGCCTAGAGGCGGCAATTTACTTAAGGACGGAATCCTGGGGGACGTTCCCTGGGTACCACCCACCACTGCTTTCAGAGTAAGGCAAGTTGTAGACCAATTGATCCTCAAATCCGTTTATGCTCACCACTCCCGCCCCTCATGTGCAACATTTTCTCAAAGGCCCTAAAAAAATTTTTTTAAAGCAATTTCCGTCTGTGATATTCCCAGGAAATCAGAAAAATGCGACAGGGAAAAATACAGCAGACATGGATTTACTCACCGAAGGATGAACAATAGACTCTAAATTCAAGTTCAGCGTAGCTTGGGAAGAATAAATCACAATAATCATGAAGCACAGAGTGGTTCTCCTTGGGGATTTCATTTCTTCAAGTTTGAGATCCTTTGCCTGAAATGGAAATATGGTGGTTTAGAGAGAGAGCAATTTATTTATCAAACACTGGAAGAACTAGCAAACCCTGAAGGTCACACTACAAAAAGACCTTTTTATAGAGGGGAGAAAGGATGGGGCATAAAGGTATGGAACTATAAAGAGGAGTCTGCTCCCGACCGCTGAGTGAGGAAATGATAATGTCAGGGGGGTGGAGTTGGGAGGATGGAGGATCGTTCCTGTAAACAGGACAAAGGTGGCAGATATTTGGGTACATTTCCTTATACATGGAGAATGAAAGAGAGAAGGAAAGAGAAAGGAGAAAGAAGAGAGAAGAGAAGCAAGGAAAAAGGGAAAGACCACTCAGAAATATTGCCAACATTGTGATCCAGTACACATCATACAGAAAGAAAAAGATCCAGAGAACAATACTCAGCTTTGCTACAGGCAACACACTCTGATATTTATAATTCTAGTCTATCTTAACTTACTCTATCTTTTCTTTTAATTCTGGTAGCAACCCATTAAATTGACTTTGATTATTTGCTATTTATGTCAATGAGCTTTGTTATTTTTTTGTTTGTATTAATGGGCTACCAGCCATTAGTACAGGAATTTACCTGGACTACATCATAAAAATATAAGTTGTATCTTATAGTCTTTGATCATATTATAGTGTACAATACAGAATATTATATCATAATATATATCCCATCTTATGTATTGATTATTGACAGCTATCTCTTTATAATGACGGTGATGAAAATGAATTATTTTGGTGACCAGAGTACTCATTGTTTCAGTTAAAAAGTAGGGCGCCAGATGGAATCACCCCGACCCTTGTAGGTCTGGGTACCAGGACAGACTACTTTGTGCAGACTCCTTTCCCTACTGACTTTTCCATGTCTGTGTATCCTTGTGAAAAGAGCACTAGGCCACGAGACAGAAGACATGGGCTAGGATGCAGGATTACTCCAACTGTGCTTTCTTGAATAAGTCACGTTTTCTCTGAGTTCATGTCTCCCCATCTGTGAAATGGAGATCATTATATCTCCTCTCATTCTCTCACAGAATTTCCTGAAGCTCAAATGTGATTAAAAGCCATGAAGAGCTCCAGGGACGAGGAATGCAATGGTTTTCTCCGATTGTTAGTGGAATCCAGAGGGCAACCACCAGGAAGTGCAGGCCTTGGCCCAGACATTGCAGGGAGCGCCAGGGGACCGTGGCCAGGATAACACAGATGATAGCCAAGATTTATATGCCAGGGAGAATTGTGTTTTAATCACCAGCTGCTGGCTGCCTCCTTTTCCTCTTCCCCAGTGGAAAAGAGAGAAGCATAAGGCCCTGGAAAACTGATCTAATTTGCAAATCTGGCAATCCAATACATTTTTAAAATTCTGGAACTCGATGGCTTTTGGAAAATACTTTGCAATTTAGGTTACGGGAACAGATATTTAAAACCAGATGCATCTGCTGTAGGGAAATCATAGCAACTTAGTGCTAAGTTCTCTGTTAGAATTCTCCTCTCTTGTTGGCTTTGTGGGCATCGGGCAGGCTGATTTAGCCTGGTGATAGCAACTGTTTCTGAGATGAATCAAGTATTTAGGAGGCAACATAATCTTCTCAGGTCCTGACTTAGTGCACTGGAACTAGTTGGTTCCAGATGGAGGCAATTAATAAGGGGATGAGACTTAGACATTGAACGCATGGTGAATGAGCCTCCCTTAGTATATGACACCCAGGGAGGGACTCAGGTATTAGCAGGACTAGGGCTGACTCCATATCTTTCCACTATTTCCCGTTGTTGACTTTTTCATCAAACTTAGCAAGAATTATAACATCCTCAAAAGGTTATATCTAGTCTTTTTGTGTAGGCCACCAGCCAATACTGTCCACTGTACCCATCTTCCCCCAGCTGCTCCTGAGACCGTTCTTGATTAAATTAATATTTTCTCTGTCGACCTATTTAGTGACAACAAAATCACAAATCAATAGAAGTAGAGATAGCAGGAGGACCCTACTCTGGGCAGGAGAGTATTCTCTGGATTCAGAGGATTGACAACAGCTATGTATAGTCATCAGTTTCACAGCAAAGGCGAGGGGCTCTCCACTTGAAAGGAGAATGGTACCACTTGGAGGGAGAGGTAATATTCAAAACATCTGACAACCAGGATGGCATGAGCGACCCCTTGGAACAGTGATGCCAGCTGAAGATCAGTTCAAATTTTGAGGTTGCCACTACATTTCAGGAGAGATCTGAAGAGAAACTTTTCTTACCTATATCAATAATCTGTCATTAACCCTCCAGCTCACAGCTGTTCTCATCTGTGAGGAAGCCAGTGGAGGCTCTTTAACTTGGCTAATGGGGGAAAAAAATCCAAATTCATCCAGTTAAAAGCATGGAGCAGCATCCACATTCGAGGCAATGTATCTTCCAGTAGGGACCCTTTAATTGTAAATCCCTCAGAAGTTCACATTTATTCTAAATTCCTGGAGTAAATGGCAGACAACAACTAAGAGACACAGAGACAGAGGCTTTTTGGGAATGAGGTCAGATCATTTTCTTTCTTTCTCACAATTATAAATCCTGGACGCTCTCTATGAAAATTCACAAACCTGTATGAGTTGGCTGTATCTTAGAAAAGGCTGGGAAATATGATCTCATGCCCAATACTAACCCCGTGGTGATGAGCAACTTCCTGGTCCCCTCTGACTCTGTTTTCCTGTCTGTGAAGTTGGAAGAGACAAGACAGCGAAATCAAGCACCCTGACGTCATATGCCAGGAATCAGTCATCAGGATTCTCAGCCGCACTGCATTTAGAGGACAAGGGTCTGGGTTCCTTGTAGCATCTATAACAACGTCCTCTTGCTGAGTGGTTATGCACCAGGAACTGTCCTGTGAAACTGGCCTGAAACAAACATATCAGGGAACTGTTCTGCCAGATCTTATAAATAACCAGTACTTAAGACCAACTGCTCCCCCAGAAACCCTTCATCAGTCTTGACCTGCCCAGACTTTCTTGGGGCTGAGAGGAGTAAACAGGCTTGTATGCCTGGCAAGTTTAGGAGCATGTTCACAAAATGACCACATCTGTGTGATCTGATGCCCCAGTGTCATCATCAGATTGTGATTCCAAGCCACTTCTAAATGGAGCAATAGTGGGATTCTTTCTGGAAATGATTTACTTCCTAAGCTCTACACACCTCTGCCTTCCCATGCTCTCTGGTGTCCTGGCCCCTCTCCTCTGGGGAGCCCAGCCTTGATGCTCTCCTTGAGTCCTCTCGGGGAGGAGGAAGGTAAGAGGTGAAAGAGAGCCCATGTGTGACCAGCCTCTGCCCAGGTGCCTCCAGTCCAGCGTTCCTCTCCCAGCTTTAGCCCATCACACAGCCCCTCCGCTTAGCATCACCAGGTACCACCAGCCTGGAAGGAAGTTCCCTGGAGTATTTGTGCCTCATCTGCTTCAGTGGTTCTTATCCTGGCTGAACATCAGAGCAATCACCTGGGGAGTTTCTTTTTTCATTTGTTTGCTTGTTATTTTAGTATCACTTCAGACTAACTGAATTAGAATTTCTGGGGGGTGGGAACTGACGGTCTGTATCCACTCCAGCTGTTTCTGATGTATAGGGAGACTTGAGGTCTGCAGATCCACATTTTCAGCACTCTGTTGCTCTTTGCACATTACCCTGCACATCTCTGGCACTTTCCATCACCAGCCTATAGCTCTCCCGCTACTAAAGGAACTACGTGGAAACCGAATCTTGAGGGGGATGCATTTAGGAGGCAATCAATCAACGGTAGATGAATGAATGGATAAATAGGAGTAGGGACTCAGAGGTGATCTTCTCAATCATTTTTGATGCATTTCAATAGCCCAGGTTGTTATTTGAGACTGTTCTGTATCTCATGTAGCATCAAATGTGTTGCATGCTTAGGGACCAACAAACACAGGCTGCTTGTTCTAGGCCCCAAGTTGTGCTCTGCATTCACATGTTAAAAAGAGTCACAGTCCTTGCCCTCAAGAAGCTCAATCTCATTGGGAAGGCATGAAGCATACAGTTAAAGAAACATAGACTGAAAGGAAAATGTAAGCTTAAAAGACACTGTTTACTAAATGCCTCCTGAGTACCGGGCACAGTGCTAAGTGCAATAAATATGTTAACTCACTTAATTTGCCTCTCACAATAACCCTGTAAGGCAGGTATTTCAATCCTAATTCATAGATGAGAATGTGAAGGCACAGAGAGGTTACAGAACTTACCCAGGCTGCCCAGCTAGCGAGTAACGGAGGGAGATCGGCACCCAAGTTGGCCTGTCACTGAAGTGAGCTGCAGTGTGCACCTGACAAGCATGACTGGAGCTGAGGATGAGGGGGAAGTCGGGTGAGCTTGGGAGTGACCAGCATCATTAGCCTGACCCTGAAGGATGGGCAATGCTTCGACGCATAATGGAGAAAGAGAAGAGAATTTCAGGCAAAGGAGAACAGCACAAGCAGAGGCAGTTGTCTCTGTTTCAAAGGGAACACAGCAGCCCAAAGGGTGATGTTTGGAAGTCCCCCGAGCCACGTATAGAGGTTTCCTTGAGCAGCTCGTCCAACCACTGGGATGTGGCTCAGCCATGATGGGCAAGAGGACATTGTTCTCCTGAACAACCACCGTCACCAAAGAAGGCAGAGCTGTTTTGGCTCTGACTTGGAAAGAGAACGAATTCGCTGCCATTAGGGCTCTGGTGGGTACCCGCTCCCGGTAGCAGACTGTAGCGGAAAGAGCAGCGGCTCTGAAGCCAAACAGCCTTGTGTTCGATTCCCACTCCCCCGCTTAGTAGCTATGGGCCAGACACTTAACCCCACTGAGCCTCAGTTTCCTGCCGTGAATAACGTGGATCGCAGCACCCGCCTTGCAGCATTGTGAAGATTAGAGATCGTGCCTACGAAGCTCGAAATGCCCTGGTCAGAGGTGGAATTTGCTATGGGCTGAGTTACGTCCCTCCAGAATTCATTTTAAAGTCCTAACCCCCAGT